CTATACTCCTTTCCCCACTCTTATCTCATACCCTTCATTTCCCCAAAACAAAGAGTAACCTCTAGCTTCAAGGAGATATGCAATATCATGTCAAAACAGAGCAGTTTTTATAAATACCAAAGGACCTTATCCAGTGAATAATACATGCTTTATTCTACTCGTTAGAAAGAAGAGAGAATCTAGCATCATTTCCATTTTCATCATGGTACCATTTCATAGCTATGGCAACACATCCATGGTCCTTTTCTCTAAGGAGTTTCCTTCAAGACAGACATCCTAGGTGGGCTAAGGGGCAGGAGGAGACCTCAGCTACCTACACCCAACCTCAGTGTCTTCATTTTCTTCTGGCTGAAATATCTTAGATAGATGCACGAGATGCATTAGATAGATGCACGAGAAAGTGCATGGTAAGGTGTTACAGATATTGAACTAGGGGTCATATGATCCAGTTTTGGTCCTAGATCATCTAATGAGATGCATGACCTTGATCTCAAGTCACTTGTCTTCTGTGACCTCAGTTTACACATTTATGAAATGGGAAATTAGGACTGGATAGTGTCTAAGGTCTCCTTCAGCTTTAAAGTATGTGAAGTGTTACTTAAATGGACTTAAATAGATAATGGAAAGGTCTTTCAAGAAGCCTTAAATTATGGGTCCTGCCTTCAAGGGGTTCACAACTGAGTTGGGAAAAACAAGGGGAGCATTCCAGGGCCAGGAGTTCAGAGGCGGAAATAAAATTTTTAACATCTGTTGATATTTTCAAGCTATGGAAGTTTATTCTAAGCTCAGAGTTAGGGGCACATATCCCTGTGTGTGTGTGTGTGTGTGTGTGTGTGTGTGTGTGTGTAATCACCTTCTTTTCTCTAGAAGTGTCTGATGTTCTCTTTTTAAAATATCGCTTGATTTTGGCCTTTTGATGATAAACATTCTGCTCTGTCTCCATAGGGTGCATGCAGTTGGAAGTCTAGGTAAGCTATGTGTAGGCTATAGGAAAGAAAGAAAAGATGGCAGTGTGGAAAAAAAGTAATAACCAGTCTTGGGATAAGAAAACACAGGATGTATTAAGGAGACAACTGCTCTGCCAGTTTGGCCATCAGGACTTTGGAAGAGGGAAAAAAATGCTGACAACACAATTTGGAGTCAGACTATAAGTAGTATGATGTAGTCAAAAGAGAAAGCAAAGATTCTAATTCTAGCTCTGCTATTTTACCATCTGCGTGCCTTTGAGGAAGTTATTTAATCTTTCTGAGCTTCTATTTCACATGGTAAAATGGAGATGATAATACCAACGATACAGAACTTTTTTTTTAAAGATTTTATTTATTTATTCAACAGAGAGATTACAAGTAGGCAGAAAGAGAGGGAAGCAGGCTGCCTGCTGAGCAGAGAGACCGATGTGGGGCTCCATCCGAGGACCCCGAGATCATGGCCGAAGCCAAAAGCAGAGGCTTAACCTGTAAGGTTTTATAGGTGAGATAAACACGACACCAGGTGAGGTAGGCGCAAGGCAAGATTTATTAAAGGCAATCTCTGGCTAAGTTTCAGGGCTCAGGAGAAGGGGAGCCAGGAAAGTTGCGCCGGGAGGAGGTGGGCACCCTCGGGTGAGGTTCCTCCACTCCGGAAAGGGGAGTGGGGGAAGTCGCACTGGGAGGGAGTTGGCGGGGGTCTTTTATCTGTTTCCTGCATAGGTATCGGGTTACCTATGGAGACGTGACCTGGGCATACATCCTTTTGGCGGGAGAGTCAAGGGTGAAGGAAAGGGGAGGGGAGGAGACTGGAAGAGGGCGGGGACAGGCGGTCATTTCTATTGTTCCTCCTGCACTCCCGGAGCTCGCCGACCCAACATAACCCACTGAGCCACCCAGGCGCCACAATACCGAAATTTTTGAGGATTAATAGAAATGATGTATGAAAAGTTTCTGGCACAGTAAAACTGGTCATAAGTGTTAATTTTCCACATCCCAGGCTCTTTCCACCTCCACAGTGGCTTCTTCTCTGACAGGCATCTGGGAAAGGAGCAACCAGACAGACCTGGCTCTGAGTGAGGCTTGGCCAGTTACAAGGTCTTTGATCTTAGTCAAGCAATTTAACCTTTCTGAGCTTCAATTTACTCATCTACAAAGTGAAATTAACCGTTAGTACTTTGCAGGATTATTGTAAAGTTTAGAAATGGGTTACATTATGCATGCAACCATACCCATTAATCATGGAGAAACGGTAGGTTTCAATAAATGATGGTGATGAGGGAAAGAAGGAGGAAAAGGAGGGGTTACCATTGAGATCCTTGAACTTGCAACCAAGAGCCTAGGATTTATCTTGTAATTTGTGGTGGCATTTGAAAGTTTTTGTTTTTCAGATAGGGTATCATAAGATGAAATGAAGAGAATCTTGACTTTGATGAACATGGTACAAGAATGGCGAGACTGGGGCACCTGGGTGGCTCAGTGGATTAAAGCCTCTGCTTTCAGCTCAGGTCATGATTGCAGGGTCCTGGGATTGAGCCCCACATCGGGCTCTCTGCTCAGCAAGGAGCCTGCTTCCCCCTCTCTCTCTGCCTGCCTCTCTGCCTACTTGTGATCTCTCTCTATCAAATAAAAAAAAAAAAAAAAAAAGGATGGCGAGACTGTGCACAGGGCAGGGAGAACTCCTTGGAGAGTTCTCCAAGAGAGAGACTAGTTCCCTGGAGACAAAACCCAGCTGTCTTCATGTATGTGCTATATAGTTCTTTTATTGCCAAATGGATTCTTTCCTCCTTAATCTGACCATTGTGAATCTATGAGAGAGACAGACGTGGAAACAGAGAGTGAGAAAAGGACCCACAGAAAGAGAGAGAGTTGAGGAGAGAGGTAGAAAGATGCATAGCTACAGAGAGACAGGAGAGAGGAAAGCTGTGTTCACAGGCTTCCTGGCTTTTTATGTGAAGACATCTGGCACATGGCTGTGCCGGCTGGATGCAGGTGGCTTAGGAGAATTGCATCCAGGTATAAACCTGGAATCAACAGGCTTGAATTTTCAGCTGCCATGTGGGCTATTTTAAATAAAACTACCGGGAATTAAAGTGAAGGTGGTGAGAACACCACTTCCCCTCTGTTATCCCACCTTCACCAAAATGTGCTTGAACACCTGAGAAGGGCTCCTTCCCTGCTGTCTCTATGTTACCTGCCCACTGCCGTCTGGCTCTTCCTGGTCCAGAGATTTCTGGTCGACCCTGTGCCCACAGAGAAGGCTTCCCACACCCTCTTTCCGCATGTCCTTCAACTCTGTTTTCATCTGCGTGCTTTTTTTTTTTTTTCTTCCCTAAAGGAGGGTGAGTTTGCTTTTATAAGAAAGGTGTTCGGCTCAGCTTATTCTGAAAGCAGAATGTCTTTAAGTTCAGTTTCTCTTTTTCATGTCTCCCTCCTATCCTTTCCTCTCCTTTTTCTAGCCAGTCATCCAAACACTGAAGGTCTGATGGGCATTGACAACCTACAAAAGTTAGTTTCTGTTGCCAGAGTTGTTTCTGCTCAAAGGGCTAGTGCCCAGTGTGTAGGCAGTTGGTACCTAGGACCCAACCCAACTGGGAGGAAATGGGGGTGCTATGGAGCAGCACTGGGAAGACTCTCATACCCTGGGGGATGCCACCAGTGTGCGCCTAAGGCAGGACTGCTGTGACCATCCCCCAAACTGGGAGGAAATGGGGGTGCTATGGAGCAGCACTGGGAAGACTCTCATACCCTGGGGGGTGCCACCAGTGTGCACCTAAGGCAGGACTGCTGTGACCATCCCCCAAAGGATAATGTCATCTATTGTCTCCTAAGAGTTTTTCTCAGCCCACCTTCCAGTTCTCAAAGATCCCATTGTCCTGCTAAGATGGATGGAAATGGTGGCACCCAAGATACCCATGTAGGGCCCGCTTTTGCTGGGTGTAGGGGCGTTTTCTCTAGTGCAACGTCTCTTTCTTGTTTTAAAGAAATTGTAATGAAATATTTCATACACCAAGGGTTCATGTAAAGGTAATATGAACACTCATAGGTACCCAGCACCTGTGTTAAGAAAAAGACTGTTAACAGAGCACTCAGAGGCTTCTCTGTCCTGCAGCTCATTCACTACCCTCTTCTAACTTCCCCCAGGTATTTATGGTCTTACTTTGCTTATGAGTTTAAAACATAAAAATAGGGAGAACAATATATATGTTTAAAATGATACATATTTACATAGAAATACATATATTTAGTTCTATATAATTCTATATATGTACATATATCTATATCTCTGTATATTCCTAAATAATATATCAAATTTGCTTGCTGTTGAATTTTATATAAATGACATCAAACTGGGTATGTTCTTTTGCTAATTGCATTTTTTGCGTGAAATAATGAGAGCCATGTCGATGCATTTACATACTCATTCCTTCATTTCTTCTGCAATATAGTGTTCTACTCCATAGGTACAGTATAATTCACTTATCTATTCTCTGTTGACAGATACTTAGGGTGTTACTAGTTGTTATAAATAGAAAATTTGAAATGTTTTTTACAATGATAAATTCTGATGCTGTGAACGTGTTTTGGACATGTCCTGGTACACATGTGGGAGAATTTCTCCAGATTTTGTAAGTTGGGGTGAAATTGCTGCATCAAAAGGTGTGAACATTATCTCCTTATTTCCAAGAATTTTTACAAAGTGGTTGTATACATCAAACATCAGGGTATGAAGAGTCCTCATGGAGCCCATCCTTCGTAATAGTGTTTTATGGCCCAACATTTACTTTTCTTGCCAATCTTGTCCGTATAAGATGGCAGATCTTTCTGGTATTTAATTGGCATTTCCTTAGTCCTTCTGAGATGAAACTTTTTTTTTTTTTATTTTTTGGTCATTGAGGCTTCCTCTCTTGTGTTGAATTCTTTGTGTGTTTCCAACACATCCCGATCCATTTGATGGAGCTCTCTGTATATGGCTCAGGCTAGAAAAGGGAGGGAAGACGTATGCTGACAGCCTGTGCTCTTTTCTCCCCGAAGGCCCCGAAGAAGCAGGAAGTGGCCGCTATGGATCCCGTTATACGATCGACATGGGAGTCGATGAAGATGATGATGGATTTGAAGACTACCTAGATTTGGATGTCTCCTTTGAGGAGGTAACCAAATCTCCGCTCGTAAAACCTGGGTGTTCTTGTTCTCATGCTCAACAAGGCAATTTAACCAATGGACCATGAACATTTTACTTCAAACTTACTTAAATTGGTCCATTTGCTCTTAACACTTATTTATTTTCTCTATTAGGCTCCAGGTGCTCATAAATTCATAGTAACTAGGGACCGACCATGCGAATGTCCTATGGCCAACCCCTGCCTGCTGACTTCACAATCTGGCAGAACCATATTTAGATTTCCCACCAAGTAGACATGTATAAAGGCAGGTATTAGAAGGAAATGAACAATTCCTTGACAAAGTAATAAATCTTTGTGATATTATAATAATAAAAATCATGTACTATCAGCTTTATCACTGATTTTCTGAATAGCATAGGGAAAGGTACTTAAAATCCTTGAGCCTCAAGTGCTTAACCATAAATGGGTTCTACATTCTAGGGTTTTGAGAAATAACAAAACTGACCATATTTTCAAGTATTAGACATTAGCCATAAATAAGGCTATCTAAACACTGTGCTCTGTGTCAAACCTGAACCCTTTCTCTTCTCTGGCTTTAGGTGAAACCACTTCCTGCTCTCAAAAGAGGAAATAGGAAGTATTTGGTGGAATCCAAGAAGGAACACAGGTCAAACCCAAAGACTGCTCCGAGGCTTGTCCCCCCTACTCTAGCATCTCTCCCAATGACTACGGTGGCTCCCCAGCCCACTCCAGCAGAGAGGAAAGGGAAGAAGGGCATGGCTATAATGCCAAGGCTCTTTGACATGTCTTGTGATGAAATGATCTGCTCTGCTGACAGCTTTTGTATCAATGACTACACCTGGGGGGGCTCACGGTGCCATTGCAACCTGGGCAAAGGTGGTGTGAGCTGCTCAGAAGGTAAGCCCTTGGTGGGAAGAAGAATGTGGTGGGGAGATCGGCTCCAGTGGGACCCAGAGGGCAGTTTTGTGTGCCACACATGGTTCCTTCTAGCCCTTTTTTTCCCTGAGATAAGCACCTTGTCCATGTATTCATAATTAAGTTAGCTGTCCAGGAAAAACGTAAGGCCACTTCCATTGCTTCTAGTTGAAAAGCGCCCTGTTTCTATGTGTGCCGTACATGTAGTATTTTTGGAGCAATTAATAAATAATCCTAACGACACCTTGGGGAGGCAGACTTTACTTGGATCACATCTCTACTGAAAAAGTGCTGCTGAAACATGGGCATGAAGTTAAGAAGATGATAATTGAGCCAACTTATATCACACAAATATCCAGCTAGAAGGCAGGTGTCAGTGGTCTTGAAATTATTGATTTCCTTTTTAGGGTAGCAAGTTAATAATCTCTAGTTTCTCCCTAAGAATTTCAGAAGCTCAAAGTTCCCAAGAATCAGAATCATAGGTGTCAAAAGTAGAGAAGATAATAAGCTAGGTGTAACAGATTTGGGGGGTTTTCACTTAATGACCTCTAGGCAATGGCTTATATTGATTTTTGCCCTTGAACAAATAAGGAAATCGTATAGTATGCTTTTATGTTGTCTTTTTCTCTTTTTAGATATTGTTATACAGTATCCTCAGTTCTTTGGCCACTCCTATGTAACTTTTGAGCCTCTGAAGAACTCCTATCAGGCGTTTCAAATTACTCTTGAATTTAGGGTAAGAAGGATTAGTTGTTTGATGAATGCCTATTGGATGGACATCTTAGCTGGGCACTGGGCCCTATCAAGTGGGGTGGGCTGGGAGTGCAAGAAGTGTGGAGGTATATAGCAAAAGTAAATACGACACAGTCTGTCCTTAAACACATTCACAGGGTAGCAAGAACGATGGGCACATTCGTACGTTCAAGGGTGCAGTGAGCGGAGGGTGGGTTCTGTGTGTTACTGAACTACGGAAGTGGCTGGCTGGCCAGTGAGAGCGTGTAGATCCCAGCCCTGTGGCTCATCATGGTGACTCTTCACAGACTGGGATCTCAGAGGCATAACGAATTCCCCATTCCAAAATCCCTTGTAAAGGGAGCTCACATGTCTGCCATCCTTGCTATGACTGTAATCGAATGCATAGAAAAACTGCTCTATACACAGTCCTTGCACGTAGTGAGAGCCCAGAGGATGCTCTCTGACCTGAATCAACAACAAATCAGATCTCAGTGCAGGACTTCAGCTTAGAGTTACTCTTTTGGGCATCTCAGACAGCACAGCAAGGGTTGGTGATCTGGAAACAAGTCCCCTTTGAGGTCACAGTCACAGTGTTGAGTGTCCAAAAGATGATCTGTCCTGGTCTAGGGCAGCCAACAAGGGTAAAGACAACCTAGTCTAGCAGCAGGGCAGATTTTATCAGCCTGTTCCCCTAACAGAAGGAAAGAAACAAATGCGCACCCTTCTCCAGAGGGAGGGAAGTAAAAAGGAGTTCTTTAAAAAAAAAAAAAAAAAAAAAAAAAGAATGTTCTTTGGTGGAAATAGAATTTGATGGACATACAAACAGCCTCTCTGCCCATGTCTCTGTGCACATGGTTTTCCTGAGGCTCTGCTGGGGGACCGACCCACCAAGCAAGGGGAGAGGAGGGCCGAGCCAGCTTTCCCCAAACTCGCTGCCATTCCTCACACCCTGTTTATATCGCTGCCGTTTGTTCACTGGAAAGGAGCAGAGACTTGGGACCTGGGAGTTCACTGGAGTCCGTGTGCTCGCCCCTTTGTAAATAGGGCCACAGAGAGAACACTCAGGTTCCACAGTCATGAGTGTTTCCAGGTGGTGCTCATTGTTCGTGTGGCTTTTGTTTGTACACTAGGCAGAGGCGGAGGATGGCTTACTGCTCTACTGTGGGGAGAATGAACACGGGAGAGGCGATTTCATGTCTCTGGCCATCATCCGACGCTCACTCCAATTCAGGTAACTCCCACCAAAACCCCCCGCATTTGTTAATACCATCCTACATTATGTTTACATTTTTATAGTGTGAGTAAAATATAAATGGGATGGGTCCCTGCGGATAAAGGAACAATGTATATAAGGCGAGCCTGGAGAAATTTACTCAATAGTGACATAGCAGGAACACAGGTCCGCCTCGAAGCTTGAGTTCGGTCCGTTCATTCAACAGGAAATTCTTCTGGAGCCCCTGCAGTATACCAGGCACGGTTGTAGGTCTGGTGACTGCAACAGTGAGCCCAAGCAATCCAGTCCCTTCGCTCCCCGAGCTCAAGTAGATGTGACGGAAAGGAGGCTGGGATCTTCTCGTCTCCTGTGGCAAATGGGACTGAGGGCCACAGAGAGCAGACAGGAGCCTACAGCCTCCTGAGGGTTCCCAGAGGCTCAAAGCCCATCCTTGGCTCAACATCCCCCCAGCCCCCGCCCCGGGGCTGCAGACTGGCACTCCTCCTCAGCCCTGGTCATTTCAGGGTGAGGGGTTTTCTGGGGCCAAGTTTTGTGGAGGTGTGAGGGTTTGAACCACCCTCATGGGGGTGTACACAGCAGCTATCTGAGAATGACCAAGGAGGATCAGCCTTGTCCTTGTCCCTAGTGCACTGGTTAAGGTCCTGATGGCACCATTCCTCTGCTGCCTGACCTTCAGCAAATGACTTAACCTCTCTGAGCCCGCATTTCCTCCCAGGACTCCTGTGAGGACGAAATGAATGAATACACAAAAGTGCTCAGAGCAGTGCCTGGCTCATAGCAAGCACTCCAGAAGCATCTGCCGTTATTGTCTTTCGATTATTTCAGCCCCAAATTACTTTAGGTTAAGCTGGAGAAGACGGTGGAACATCCCACTTGGGGAAGACAGCAGTCCGCCATTGCTTTGACTCGTGGGGGTCCGAGGCTGGGCCAGGGTCCAGACAGCAGTTCTCACACTCACACACACACTAATGCTCAGAGGATGTGTAGCCCTGGCAGGAGTTTATGGCAGCCGCCCTCCAACTCTGCGTCTCCTGATTCCGCTGCCCCCTCTAGATAAGCCTACTTGGCCATGAGTCTCCACCCCATTCCTCTGCACCGAGGATCATCAAGGAGACGCAGGGAATCCATAAGAAGTAGCTGCAGTTAGTGCAGGTCCTGAGAAGGACGATGCTGGTCACGTGTCCTTCCCCACTGACCATCTCGGGACCCACAGGGAAGCGGCATGGCGGCCGTCTGGAAATTGACGGGAAAGGGTCAGAATTCTAGACGTCAGGCACAGTGACTAGCGGGTGCCCTGCGCCATAGGGAAGTTGGAGAAAGAAAACAAAAACAAGAATAAAGCAATCATCTGAGAATGTTCCCCCTCCGCCCACACCCTCCCAGCAAAGCTGGGGCCTCCTATGGAAACGGCGCTGCCTTTGGGCACAGCTGAACACAGATGGCAGCGCTGGCCGGCTTGCCAAGATGAGTGTGAAGACTTGTGTTTTTTACATTTTATTAATATCACCGAGCCCATCATCTGGGAGTTGGGGAAAGTCCCCAGAGAAATACCTGGAAGCAGAATGACTCAAATTCTAGTTTGCCGTACCTTGGATCCACTTGAAGCATCTGGCAGTCATTGGAGGCAGGAGGGAGGTCTTAGTTGCCCATCCTTTTCGAAGCTGCAGAGAAAATCAGGCTGGAGAAGGCCCCACATTTGAAGGGTCTGTGGACAGATTAAAGATGGCTGGACTGAGACTGGCCCAGAGAGCAGGCAAAGTGTAGCTCTTCCATGTGGAGATTGAAGCAGTTCTTGATACTCATAAACCTATCCGAACAGGTTGACTCTCAAAGAAGCCATCACCCTGCAAATGCTGTTGGGTGGGGGGGTGGTCAGAACACCTAATGAGCTTGTTGAGCAGAGGGCCTTTTCCTCCTTTTCCTTCCTACAGGTTTAACTGTGGAACCGGGGTTGCCGTCATTATAAGTGAAAGCAAAATCAAACTAGGGGCCTGGCACACAGTCACGCTCTACAGAGATGGGCTGAAAGGGCTACTGCAGGTGAACAACGGCACCCCGGTGTCAGGCCAGTCCCAGGTGAGTGTGAGCGCCCTCCATGAGCATCCCTGCCTCCCCCCCCCCCACACCTTCCACCCCCCTCCCTGCTGAGAGCTGAGGCAGACATGGCAGGACGCAGCCTCAGGGCACTCATCCATCCCACATCTATTGAGGAGAAGAGTTGAATTTGCAAGCATCATCACTGTGGGGGTGCAGGAACACACAGTTGGCCTTGTGCTCAGGGCCGTGTCCTCTTTCCACAAGGACATCAAAGCAAGGGGAGAAGAAGGCCCATATCAGAAGAATAGAAGCCATTATTAGTGCCAAACACAAAGCTTGCTTTTAAGGCAAGGGTGTTGCCATGTGGCTTTAGAAAACAGTCCTGAAAAGTTCCCTTGGTTGAATCTGCAGGAATGATCCTTTCATCTACCATGTGGGGGCGGGGGAATGATTACAGGAAGTGGTCAAACAATTTAACTGTTGGGCTATGCTGTAAATCACCTAGGTATTCACATGTTGGTCATGCTCTGGGCAATTTTAGAGCCCTGTTTAGAATAAACGGTTTGGATTAGCAAGCGGCCAAGGAACCAAGGCTGTAATTATAATTAGGCAGGTGTCTGTATTCTCTGAGGAAAAATGTAGCAAGAAAGCCTTTGTGTATATGTGTGTGGTTTCCTCCCTGCCTGGACTTTTCCCTATTTTTTACTGGCAAGACATGTTATATAAAGGGCCATGCCTTGCTGATTCCCATTAATTTGGACCCCCGTGGTTCCAAAGGAACAAGAATCCAATTGAGTGACTATGAATCCAGTAAGGTCACTTAGGCATATACACATGTTATTTCTAAGGGAAAAAAGACAAGATAAATGAACTACAGAATCATATACATGCCAGGACAACAGCCCTAATATGATTACAATTAAGTCTGATAGGAATAAAGAAGCTTTGAACTTGGATCCCAAATACTAACTGTGAAAATAGGATGGAGAAGCTGTAATAGAAGCAATACATGTGAAAATGTCTTACAGTTTAAAGCAAGGAAATTCAATAAAGGTTAATAAACAGAACCATGTAGTAACAACAAGCTCAAGAAATGATAAGTCACATTAATAGAGATATAGCATCCAGAAAAATGGAGGTGATAGTCCTTTTATATTCTAGGAGCTATGTATATAGCCTCCAGTGCTCTAGTGGTAACTCAGATCCTCTAAGAGGCTTGCATTCAGATCTGTGATTGCACTCTAGGAGGACCACAGTCGAATTGGAGCTTGTTTAAACAAGTCATTGAAACAGGAAACTGACCTAAAATCCTTAGAATGATCAAGGGAAGGAGCATTGTTTACTTTGGAGAGAAGAAGATGAAGGTGTGGATGGTGCCTTTTCATCATAGAGGGAGAGTTTGGGGGAAGAAGGACTTACTCTGTGGACCCCCAAGGTGAAGTGGGATGGGGAGATCCTAAGGAAGTGATTTTAACTCCAATTAATCATACAAAGATATATAGAAGTGCAACAGATGATCTCAGAGACTGTTCCCTGTCCTTGGGGGTGTGCAGAAAATACGCTACCAAAACCTTTTGGTAGGGACACACAAGGGCTCCAGGAGTTAATGGGAGATTGGACTGTATGAGTTTCCATATCTTTTCTAATACTTGGATCTATAATTGTAATGAATATAAGAATTAATTGCAAGAAGCATTTAATTTTATGGCTACTCAGGGCCATGTTTGCCTCTACTACCAGGATTTGCTAGCAAGTTGAATAAGCAGGACAATTGTGGAATGTTTGGTAAACTGTCTTGGGAGATAGTGACTCTTTTTTTTTTTTTTAATTACTTATTTGTCAGAGTGAAAGGGAGAGGGAGACAGAGAACACGCACAAGCAGGGGGAGCTGCAGGCAGAGGGAGAAGCAGATTCTGCACGTAGCAAGGAGCCTGATGCATGCCTTGATCCCAGAACCCTGGGATCATGACCTGAACTGAAGGCCGCTGCTTAACTCACTGAGCCACCCAGATGCCCCGTGACTCTGTCTTAAATCAAGGTTTACAAAGTTCTTCTTCAGGGTCTGGCTTCAGCCTGATTCCGTAGGGGAGCTCTGTAGTATAAGTTACACCTCAGAGTGATCCCAACCCAAAGCAAGGGAATTGGACTTTCACACTTTGGCACCCATCAAAAACTGTTAAGTGCTGTGCTGGGTATAGGCTAACTCCAGGGCACTTCCAATTCTCTGATAGCAGGCAAAGCAGGCTCCAGAACCCAAAGCAACCCTCATCAGAGGAAGGTAAAGGCCAACTTTTATCAGACTATTGTCTAGGATGTTGTGAGGGAGGCTCAGAGGAACCACTCACCCTACAATGCATGGAATGTTCCAGAAAAGGAAAAAGAAAAAGATTGAGTTGTCAGGCCCCTGCTGTGATCCTGGAGCAAGGAACAGAGTGAAAATGGGATCCAGAGTGAATTCTGAGGATCTTAATGAAATAAGCCCACAGGGCACTCAATTCATCTAACAAAAGCAATGTGCCCAGTGGCAGGCAAACAATCCTTAAAATTCTCTGTAAGTACTTTAAAGTGGCCTAGCTCATATTCAGTACACTAGTTATAAATCATTCTTATCTATTCATTAGAAAAGATAAAGTAATGATTTAAATGTTCTATTTGTTGGCAACAAAAGTCTAAAAAGATAAAGATTTTCTTTATTTCAGTGGCTTATATTCTGGGCTTTTTATAAATTCTGGCAACATGATTTTCCCAGCCCCCTTTAATCCAAATGAATAAGATATTTCTTTAATATATAAAAACAACAACAACAACAACAACAAAAACAAATGACAAAGGGTACCTTAATTTTGTCCTACCTAATGTTCAGGTCAGTATTTTATAACCTCAAAGTCTACAATCCAGATTGTGGTTTTCTCTAAGATTAGAAATGTCCCCACCTAACTATAGATATACACATACACAAAAGTTGTATCCGTGAGCAAATTTCAAAATATTTTGCAACACAATCTGTGTGGCAATCCTGCCCTCTTCCCCGCCACACACAACTTTTCTTGCAGGACATAGTATATGGGAGACTAGGAGAGTAAAAGGTAAGTGTTAGCCCACATATACGCAAAATTAGCATTATCACCTTTTGAGACACGCAAGAACCCTATGATTCATCTAAGGTACACAGTAAGTTGGTGTCAGGACTGGAAAGAGAAAGTTTTTTTTGGATGTCCAGCATGGTGCCCTGCCTGTTGGGTTGCTCTTGGCTCTGACCCACCTTCCCTTCCCTTCCTTTCCCTTTCCTTCCCTTCCCTTCCCTTCCCTTCCCTTCCAGGCATTCCAAAACCCCTTCTCAAAACACAGCCCTCGGAGGAGCTCACTAGGTTTCCTATAGTAACCATGGGTTTAATTTTCCAGGCAATTTTGTAAACATAAACACAGATGGAAGAAAGCAGTGGGGCTGTAAACTACCTCTTAACCATGCCCCTCATTAAAATCTGTTGTGTTTTGGCTTTCGATTTTGGTCAGTGAGTTACAGTGTTCATCTTTCTTAAAGGGCCAGTACAGTAAAATTACCTTCCGGACACCCCTCTATCTTGGTGGGGCTCCCAGCGCATACTGGTTGGTCAGAGCAACAGGAACAAACAGAGGCTTTCAAGGCTGTGTACAATCGCTCACTGTTAATGGGAGGAGAATCGACATGAGGCCCTGGCCCCTAGGGAAGGCACTCAGTGGAGCTGACGTGGGTAAGTGGTTGCCCAGTGGGCCTGGGTGCTCTTTTGGGATTGCCCTTCTGGTGTGGGCCAGGGAGGTGAGCAGTTTCATGGACTGCAACCGTAGGCACCTGGTTAGCCCAGAGGTGGGCCCAAGGGGTGAGGTTGGTGCTTTGCAGACATGATGACCTGAGCCTGACCAGCAAGACGTGGTAAACAATATGGCACACCCAACCCTTGGCTGTGTCCTGCTGCCCTTGGCCTTCTCCATGAAGCCTGGCATCAAGCAATTTATCCCTTTCCCCCTTCCTCCTCAGTCCAGTGGAAAAGCCAACACAATAATGCAAGAAGAACTTTCATAAGCCCTCTGCTTCCAGAGAAATGACGAAATTCTAATTCTTGACCACTGTGTCCAGCACTTTCTTATCTACCTTAACTCCTCACACTAGCTCTACGAGGTAGCCATTGTTACTATTATGCCTATTTTATGATTTATATTTTTACTTTACTTTTAAAGATTTTATTTATTTATTTGAAAAAAAGAGAGACAGAGATAGTGACAGAGAGCACAAGCAGGGAAGAGAGGGAGAAGCAGGCTCCCTACTGAGCAGGGCGCCTGATGTGGGACTCCATCCCATGACCCTGGGATCATGACCTAAGCCGAAGGCAGATGCTCAACCAATGAGCCACCCAGGCACCCCTGTTGTGCCTATTTTATACATGAGGAAACTGGGGCTGAAAGTCAAATAAAACTTATCCAAAAGAGCAGGCAGAGGTAGGGACTGACTTTTTTTTTTTCTATTTTCTTTTTTTTATTAAGACTATTTTTACAGCAGTTTAAGGTTCACACAAAAAAGTGAGGGGCGGGTACAGAGATTTCCCTTATACCACCCACCCCCACCTGCATGGCCTCCCCCATGACCACCATGCCCCTGGTTACACGTGGTGAGCACACACTGACACATCAGTATCACCCAAAGTCTGTAGTTCATGTTGTGGTTCACTTGTGGCATTGTGTGTTCTGCGGGTTTGGACAAATGTATAACGTAATACCACCATTCTGGTGCCATACAGAGCATTTTTGCTGTTCTAAAAGCCCTCTGTGCTCTGCTCATTTATCTCTCTCCTCTCATCCCCAACCTCTGGCAACCACTGATTTTTTTTTTTTACATTCTCTATGATTTTGCCTTTTCCAGAATGTCACGTAGTTGGAGTCATATTGTAACTAGCTTTCTCAGATTGGCGTCTTTTGGTTAGTGATACACATCCAAGTTTCATTCATGCCTTTTCTTTTTTTTTTTTTTAAGATTTTATTTATTTATTTGACAGACAGAGATCACAAGCAGGCAGAGAGGCAGGCAGAGGTGGTGGAGGGGGAGCAGGCTCCCCGCTGAGCAGAGAGCCCAATGTGGGGCTCTATCCCAGGACCCTGGGATCATGACCTGAGCTGAAGGCAGAGGCTTTAACCCACTGAGCCACCCAGGCACCCATCATTCATGCCTTTTCCTGGCTTGATGGCTCATTTCTTTTTGGTGCTGGGTGATATTTCATTGTCTATATGTACTACGGGCATGTCTGTCCTGCTCACTGAAGGGCATCTCGGTTGCCTCTGTGTTTTGGCAATTATGAATAAAACTGCTCTAAACATCAGTGTGAAGGTTTCTTGGGTGGACATAAACTTTCAACTTTTTGAGGTAAATACCAATAAGGAGTGTGATTGTTGGGTCACGTACTAAGAATATGTTTAGTTTTGTGAGAAGCTGCCAGACTGTCTTCCAGAGTAGCTGTCCCATTTTGCATTCCCACCTGGAATGTTTAAGAGTTCCTGTGGCTCCACAGTTTTGTTAGCGTTTGGTGTTGTCAGAGTTCCAGATTATAACTGATGTGTAGTGGTATCTTGTTGTGATTTGCATTTCCTTGATGACCTATCACGTGGGGTATCTTTTCATATGTTTATTTATCACCTGTATATCTTCTTTGGTGAGGTGTCTGTTAAGGTCTTTAGCCCATTTTTTTAAAAATCAGATTTTTTTTTAATGGTTGAACTTTAAGACTTTTTTTAAAATGAATTTTGGACTACAGTCCTTTTTCAGATATGTCTTTTGCAAATATTTTCTCCCAGTCTGTGGCTTATCCTCTCATTCTCTTGTCACTGCCTTTCGTGGATTAGAAATATTTAATTTCAGTGAAATTGAGCTTATTGGTTACTTCTTTCAAGGGTTATAACTTTGGTGTTGTCTCTAAAAAGTCATTGCCTTACCCAAGGTCATCTAGGTTTTGTCAACACTACTTTCTAGAAGTTTCACAGTCTTGTGCTTTACACTTAGGTCTGTGATCTCTTTGAGTTAATTTTTGTGAAGGGTGTAAGGTCTCTGTCTAGATTATTACCTTTTTTTTTTTTTTTGCATGCAGATGTCCAATTGTTTCAGCATGATTTTTTGAAAAGACTAGGATTGTTTTTAAAGGGATAAGGATGTTTATTTCATTGCTGCTGAGAGCAGATAGGTAATTCTAAATTTGGTTAACTTAGTGACTGTTTTAGTCTGCTAGGCCTGCTGTAACAAAATACCACAGACCAGGTAGCTTTAATAACATTGTTTTCTCACAGTTCTGGAAGCTGGAACCTCATGATGAAGGCACTGGCAGGTTTGGTTTCTCCCGAGGCCTCCCTCCTCGGTTTGCATTTGGCAATCCTTCCTTCACCGTGTCCTCCTGTGGCCTTGGTCAGTGCCTATATCCCTGGTGTCTCTCCCTCTTCTTATAGGACACTGCTCAGATTGGATCACTAAGACTTCAAATCACCTTAATTACCTTCTCAAAGGCCCTGTGTCCAAATACAGTCACACTGAGAATTAGGGCTTCAACCTATGAATTTTTTTTGTAACTTCCTCATAAGATTACTTTGTCCAGATGAGTTGTAGTGCATATAAGTACTAAGAACAAAGCCTTGCACATAGCAAACATGTTGTAAATATTTCTTGCTATTAATATTATTATTAATATCCTGACTCCACCCAATAAGCAGGCTATAAGTTGTTTTTTCTCTCTTCATTGAACTAACAGGGAAACAGCCCTGAAAGACAGATCTGTAGCCTCCAGGCCACGTGGTCAACTGATGGGTAGTTATGACATTGTGAAGTTGAGCAAGGACCAATTTCTGGCAGTGCTTTAAATTCTCACACAGTGTGAAACCAACCTCTCCATTGAGCCGATGGCACCAGGCGGGCCCACCTTGCTGGCTCTGGGCTCCCTGGGAGCTACTATTGGATTCTTTGATGACTGTGAGCCTTATGATGAACCTTAATGGCAGACATCAGTCACATTGCCTTTTTTCATTTTCTTCCCATCTTTCACCCTGGCGTGCTGGAAAAGGGCTGCTTCCTCATACTCCATACTTGCTTTAGTCGGAGTTTGTCCTTCAGAAATTCAAGTTCTTTTAAGTGAAATGCAGTGCCACCATGGGGAAGGCTAGGCTCATACCAACAGCAGTGAATTTCTGGTGGGGATACAGGCTTCTCGAAGAAAGTAATGATAGTAGCAGACCCATGCTTCCTCTGTCTGGTACCTCTAAGTTGGCACTGCTATCTGCAACCCCTGCTTTTTCTCTGTTCCCCTCCCCCATCACCTCAGCCTGCCTCCGCGCCTCAGAGGGACCTTTCATTCCCCAAGCCCTCCCACCTCATCTCCTTCATTAGATTATCCCCAGTGACTGAACTCTTTAAACTCATGTTCTAGACTAGTCTGCAATCTCAGCAAATTTTGCATTCTCTGGCCTAGACTTTTCTTTTAGTATTTCTACCCAACTTCTCCAACCTAAACCGGCAGCACTCGTTTTTCTCAATCCTGTTGTGGATCTTCACACCCCACTGGGTCAGTGTGACAAAGTCAGCTTCCCAAGTTATTTGAGACTCCAGAGGTCCAAGGTGTCCATGGGTCTCCCCATGGGCTTGCCAGTCTTTTAGTCATTCTTTCCCTTAAGATACTTGTTTAATGTCAGCCATGACTCTGTGTGCTGTGGACAAAGTAATGAACAAGAACCATAGGATCTGAGCTCAGCCCTCACGTAGCTGCCACAGGGAGAGACCAGATTGATCAAACAACTGCACGAGTAAATGTAAAATGACGTTTGGCTGTAAGTGTTACAAAGGAGGAGTGATAACACACTTAATAGTGTGTAATAAGGGAATTGTACGAGCAGGAGGTCCAGGAAAGCTTTCTGAGGATATAATGCAAAGTTGCTATCTGAAGCATTTTTCTTTTAAAGCAGATAAGAGAGGGAAGAACATTCCGGGCAGAGGAAATGACTTGTCCCAGTGGGAGTACAAGGGGGAGGTGGGTACCGGGATGTAGTCTGTGTTTTGAAAAGATCGCTCTGGCCGTGGACAGCTTATTGGAAGCAGTATTCAGGACGCACATTAAACTGGCAGGAAGGCGATGGCGGCGGTCCAGATCAGAGATAATGGCGATTTGCTCCAGGCCGGGGTGGTGGCAGAGGTGTAGACTAAGTTGACAGGTCTTCAGTAGGGGAGACAGACAGGCCTCAGTTCTGGACTGGGGGACGAGGGGAGGAGGTTGTTCCCTGCCCGTGTGTCCTTAAAGTCTTCTACCTGTGATGTTCCACCTTCGCTTTTCTCCTCAGCGGCCTCATTTCTCTCTGGCCCTCACTTCATTGTCTTGCGTAAACACAAGCTGGCATCTAGTAGGTTCAGTGTCAACAAAAGTGATTTCATTTAGTGGGGCTGAGGTACCCCCAGCACTCTAGGCCCGTGACCTGGCCACCAGCTTTCTTCCTCCCGCTCTAAGATTGGGAAGATTTCCTCATTTCTAAAACTGACCTGTTTATCTCCACTTTGCCTCTGTCCTTCCCTACATCCCTGGACCTTGCTACCAGGATCATCATTTCAGTAACCCAAGGGTTCTTAACCTTTCGTGAGCCATGAACTTCTCTAACGGTCTGGTGAAGCCAATGGACTCTTCTCAAATGTTTTTATTATTTTCTTTAGGATTTTTTTTTTTTTTTTGAGAGAGAGAGAGAGAGCAGGGGGTGGAGGGGGCAGAGAGAGAGAGAATCCTAAGCAGGCTCCATGCCCCAGCGCAGTGGTTGACACAGGGCTCGATCTCATGACCTGAGATCATGACTTAAGCCAAAATCAAGAATCAGACACTTAACTAACTGAGCCACCCAGGTATCCCAAGATTTTATTTTTAAGTAATCCTACCACCCAATGTGGGGCTCAGATTTACAACCCTGAGATCAAGAGTCACACGCTCACTGACTGAGCCAGCCAGGCACCCCTCGAAATGACGTTTTTAAATGCAGAGAATAGGGGCACCTGGGTGGCTCGGTTGAGCCTTTGCCTTCAACTCAGGTCATAATCTCAGGGATTGAACCCCACGTGGGGTTCTCTGTTCAGCAGGGAGTCTGCTTCTCCTTCTGCCCCTCCCCCCAACTCATGCTTGCTCTCTCTCTCTCAAATAAATAAATAAATAAATAAAAATAAATGCAGAGAAAAATATCCCTGATAGGAAACACTTACATTGAAATAAAGCCACACAATTTTTTTTTAAGTTTTGTTATTGTAGTAGTATCTGTGCTTCTTTATAAAGCATTAGAGAATAAGATTATTTAACGGGGGTGGAAGAGCTACCATGATTTCAAAGTAGTAATTAGCATAAATGATATTTTGCGATATCTGCAACGAGTGGAATGTGATATAACAGTAACTCGGGACTGTTGGCCACAGGCCACGAGCACTGCCCATTCTTAGAGGTTTGTTGCCTATGTTAGTAACTGAAGGGAACACTCCCGTTCAGTTGGAAGTGAGGGAAAATAAAGATTAATGTGTTTTATCAGTTCACGGACGCCCCCCCCCCAGCCCGGTCTTATTCTCACTTGCTCAGGTCCCCATGCCGAAACCCAGCACCATGCCTCACACAGCCCTGCTACCTTCCGCACTTGGGAACCCCGGGCACCTCGCTCCTCTCTTTCTAGACCCGACGCTCCCAATCTTTCCAGTCCCCTACGTGAACCCCCTGCAATTGGGCTTCTGCCTTCCATGGCACAGCAAAATCCCTCTCCTAAAACTGGGTATGGTCACCCCTTTACAAACCCAAAACCCTTCTTCCGGGACTTTCTAGCAGTATTAACTCCGCCTGCTCTCTGTGCTCCGGCTCCACCCGGAGCTTCCCCAAACCTGCCCTGAGTCCTCCCAGCTCGCTGGCCTGTTCTCCTGTTGTCTTCTCTGCCAGCTCCTCACCCTTCTCTGGTTCCTGGGAGTCCCACAGGGCCCTTTCCCCATCCTCTCTAGGAAGCCCCTCCACTCCTGGTGTCCAGGTCACCCCCACATCACTGCCGCCCTCCAGGGTGCCTCTCATGTGTAGGGCTGTGTCCACGGGGCTGAGCAGGGGATGCTGGCACAGGGACCACAGGCTTCAGCTGAGAGAGGCCAGCTTCTCTGCCCAGAGCAACCTGTTCCCGCTCCCAGCCTTGCTCATGGCTCTGCTCCTGCCACTCTATGCAGACGGCCCGGCGGGGACCCCCTGGACGTTATGCTAGAGTCTGCCTCCACCTTCAGCCTCTAGAAGGAGCTGGCTGTTTCTTCCTTTTCTGTGTCTCACTTTCTCTCCATGTCCCCTGCCACCACCCCGTCCAGCTCCAGGTTCCGTCCCCATAAGATTTCTTTCCTGTTTCCCACGCCAGCGCTCCCCGTCTGGCTTGCATACCATGGCCAGCAGATTCAAGCCGAAACACGCTTTCATCAAGGAAATGCCCCATCCCACTCCCACCTCTTAAAATATAGTCACAACGCAAATATATAAAGTGATATTTTCCTGCATGCATCTAAAATAACCCGAGAAGTTCATGTCTTCCCTGTGGGAGCAGTCCTTCTCTGAGAAAGAGCTGTAGCCTACCAAGACCAGTGGGGGCGCGGGCCCTGCGAGTTTGGCTCTCGGGGATGCTCCTCACCCTCCCTGTGGAGCCAGGATGCTGGCCGTGTGCTCGGACTGTGACTGCAGACCACCCGTCACTTTGGCCTGAACTTCCAGGGGCCCCAACCGGGATTTGCCAAAGCCAGCCCACCCTGGCTGGAGCACCGAGCCATCTGCAGGGGCTTGAATTCACCTCTGTCACGGGCCTCTGCGGTTGGCCTCCTCGAGGGGTGCACACTCTACCCAGCCCAGTTCCTCCTCCCAGGGAGGCTGAGCACGGAACCAGGGACTGGATCAGCTCCATGAACACAGAGGGCTGAGGATGAAAGGATGTGAGGCTTGCAGAGATGACACAACCAGGCCAACGTTGGGGGGGATGCTTTCAGCTCAGGCAGGCCCAGAGTCACCACCTGCAGGGCACAGGGCTGGACCCCTCAATCAGAGATGTGCCCCTTTGCCCCCATCCGGGAAAGAAGTGTTTTGTACTCACCTATGTCGTTCTGGACCAAATACTGGCCCTTCTGTCTAATTTATTTCGTATATACAAGAAGGAAGACCGCAGAAGCAGAAGACAAGCAGTGCAGGGGAAGCCCATTTGTTCCCCCTTCCTCCGATGATCTTGACAATGACAAAGTGTGCCCTGCATGGGCCTCTCTGTGTTCGGTAAAGAGAATGGACCCATCTGGCGTGGAGTGTCTCACCACTTTTTACTCCAGGCCACCTTCCTGTCTCCCATGTGATCGTAACAGGGATTCTGGAAGGCACGTGCTGAGGTATTAGGGAGCCCCCTCACCCCTCACGCCTCCCTGCCCTAGACAAAGGAGTGGATGGTTCAGGCCAGGTCATACATTAGACATGGCTTCAGTCCCTACCTCATTGCCTCCACTTTGAACCCCCAGGGTGGTAGCACTTCAGGTAACTGCGGCCACACCAACAAGAACACTTTTTTTTTTTTTAAAGATTTTATTTATTTATTTGACAGAGAGCAAGAGGGAGAGCACAAGCAGGGGGAGGAGCAGCAAAGAGAGAGGGAGAAGCAGGCTCCCCACTGAGCAGGGAGCCCGATGCGGGACTTGATCCCATGACGCCGGGATCATGACCTGAGCCGAAGGCAGTCACTTAACCAACTGAGCCACTCAGGTGCCCCAACAAGAACACTTTTAACGGAAATGCCTTGTTGACGTGGCGAGATTGAAACACACTCTTGTGGGAATAAGAGAGATGAATTAAAGCAGAGACAGCTCATTCATCCTCGTCAGTGGTCATAAACTTGTCCAACAATTGACTATTGATTAACTGTGTCCACCGTGTTTTGAAGATTCGGTGACTCTTCATAAAGAACAAGCCAAAATCAAATTAAAACAAACCCTGAACTTGTGCAGCAATACCAGGGAACAGGAGTGGAAGGGAACTGCATTTATCCGGAGCCCTGAGCTGTTGGCGTGCTCAGTGCCATCATCTTGGCCTGGCTCCCATGATGGACCTGTTTGGTAATTCCTCTTCTGTGTTTAGGGGAATGCAGCAGCGGACTCTGTGATGAGGCTTCGTGTATCAACGGTGGCACCTGCACGGCCGTCAAAGCCGACTCCTACATTTGCCTCTGTCCCCTTGGATTTAAAGGGCGACACTGTGAAGCGGGTGAGAAAGAAGCAAGTTGACTGAGATCTCCGCACGGCTAATTCATGTTGATATAATTTTTCATCAGTGTGCTTTCAGCAAGGTCCCATACATTTTTATGGAATTAAAATTTATGCAGTGTTGGGAGACACAGGAGAATCTTGTTTTAACAATTTTATTTATTTATTTAAGAGAGAGTACGTGCACGAGGTGGGGTGGGGGGAGAGGCAGAGGGGCACAAGCAGACTCCCCACTGAGCAGGGAGCCCTACACGGGACTCGATCTCAGGACCCTGGGATCATGACCTGGGCTCGAGTCAGATGCTTAACCAACTGAGCTACCCAGGTGTCCCCCCGCCCCTTTTTATAAGGTTGGTGTGTCTTTGAGTGTTAATGGGTCACACCAGCCAAGGATATATTCATTTGAAGATACTCTTGGGCCAGGCTTTGGTGAGCTCCTTTTGGCCCCCCCAAAAACTTAGAAAAACCTCTGTGCATATGGTCTATATCAGACCATTTGCAGCTCGTGCTCATTAGAATGGCTGACAGTTTCAGAGAAAAGGTTGGGAAGTGAGATGCAGAATCATTAACAACGGATAGGACAAAAGTCATCTTGATTCTCTGTACTGTTCTAGTGAATTATTCCACCCCTCAATACCGTCTGCCTAGGTCCCGGTACATGTAGATGCCAACATGTGTGTATATACATGTAAACACACGCACGTACACAAACACACATATAATAATGGAAAATTTTAAAGATTTTTAAAAGATTTTAGAGCACCATGCAGAGTTGAACATGTTTCAATTTTTTACCAGTGGTTTAAATTTGGACCTAAGACACCATCCTGGGAGAAAATCTTCTGAACACAGTATAATCTCAAATCTCATTTCACCTAGAAGAGGGCCTATGGTTTCCAGTAAACCAGAGCTGTTACATATCATCTCATACTTTGTAGCGTAACATAATAAAGGTTGATCCTTGCTCACATCACACATGGCTGCAGGTCGGTGAGGGGGAGGTGGGAGGGTCGCACTCTCTGCTCCATGCAGTCCTTCAGGGATGTAGGCTCCTGCCTTCCAGTGGTTCTGCCGGGGGCCTTAGAATCCACCTCCTGCCACCTCCCCTTCCTGCATTCAGCCAGCAGATGAGGGAAGAGGGTACGTGGAAGATGGAGCGAAGTTTTAGGGCCGGACCTGGGGTGCTGTGTGGTACTCCCACCCACATTCTACTGACCGGAATTCGGTTACGCTGGCCAGCTAACTCAGGGTCACCGGGAAATGCAGCTTTGCTCTCTACGCAGGAAGACAAGAACGTGGCTAGTCCTGCACCAGAGGGATTTCTAATGATACGCTCCTTTCCTCAGCTTTCAGCCTGATCATTCCGCAATTCAGAGAGTCGCTGAGGTCCTATGCTGCAACCCCCTGGCCCCTGGAGCCCCAGCATTACCTCTCCTTCACGGAGTTTGAGATCACGTTTCGGCCGGACTCGGGGGACGGCGTCCTGCTGTACAGCTACGACACAGCCAGCAAGGACTTCCTGTCTATCAACATGGCAGGGGGCCACGTGGAGTTCCGCTTCGACTGTGGCTCTGGGACCGGTGTTCTCAGGTAAGGGCTGCAACCTTCACACCCCCCCACCACCCAAACGCTACACAGCAGTCACTTTGGGAAAAGATGACTTTGTCCTGATAGCTGGCACTCTTCCTGTCTTCCCTCCACAGTTATCTTTTCTGAAATTTGTCCTGGTGTTTACAGATAACATGCTTCCTTGTGGCTCAGGCTTTCCTCCTGACAGGACTTCCTTTTCTCCAGTAACTCCCCAGCAGGGAGCGACTCTGTGTGTCCGTCTGTGGCAGGCAGGCTGGCTTCGGCCAGGGTCCTCTGCCTTCCTTTCCTACGAAATGGTGCCATCAGGAGAAATGGGAGGAAGTGTATTTCATCGGCACGTGCTCGGAACATCCCTGGGTGGGCGCTCAGCAAATAGATGACAACCAGCAAAGAGGTGTCAATGGACATGGAGCAGAAATGTCCTTGGTGACCTCGCTTTCCATGCTTACTGTCCTCTTACACTGTGTCTTCCGATTGTACCAGCTACTAGTGAGTCTCTTACCGCTCTCCACGTAGAGCCGGGCGCGGAGTCAGCTGTCACAGAGCCCCGTCCCTGAGCACGATGCTCTGGAAGGCTGTGTGATGGGTGGTTTTGATAGCGTGGTGGTGACTAGTTGCTTCTTAAATACTTGCTGGCAGTGGCAGAATTGGCTCCGAGTCGTCAAACCTGTCCTCCAGGTATCCCGCTCGTACTATTAATTTATTAGCAGATCGATTGTTCCCATCCAGTGTGTCGCTATTTTGATGACTCCCCTAGCCTGTGGATGGTAAGGGCCCATGTTCTTCTTATTTGTTTGTGTCTCCCCCTTTTTACCATCTTGCTCCCACGGTAGTTTTTACCTTCAAGCCAGAAGCCTGCTCATCAAAGGCAGACATGGTACTTGTTCCTATGTTTGGCGAATTGTCTTTTGAAACTCACTACCGTGTTTTGTTCAATGACGCCCTGCAGCAGGAAACCAGTCAGTGGTGGTGGTTTTAAAAGAAATTGCGGGCTGCGTTCCATCGTAATTCCTACTGCTAGACTATCATTTTTAGGAAGAGCGTGCAGGAGAGATGTTACAACCTTACATCGCCCTTAACTGCTGGCCATTTTTCATGGCTGATGAGAAATGCTTACGGCATTAGGTTCCAACAATTCTTAAAAAGGACTACCTTTTTGTACGTCTGGTTATGCAAAAATGTCCTAGGTCTCAAGACAACTTTGGTAGGTATTTAATTGATTCAGTGTACATATGATTATGCAAAACAGTCTAAGCAATTCCAGTAGAACTGTTTGTCAAGTTGAGAGGGGAAGACACCTTGAATATCACCTTGTGTTTTCACATGGCTTCTTCCTGGAAATGGAGTGACCGAAAGTATGAGTAGAGGGTCGTGTTCATCAGCCCTCCTCCTGGACGGAGGGCCCCCCCCACCCCACACCTCTGCAGTGACCGCTCCAGCTGTGAGGTCACAGACTCATAGGACCTGAGTATCCAGCATCTCTCTCTTTCATAATTCTGTGCCTCTTTGAGACAAGAGGAGGTTTTAGTTTTTTGTTTTGTTTTGTTTTGTTACTGTGAGTTATTGTCTTCTTGCTTGGCAGGAAAGCACCCGGAAAAAGGATTCTGCATATTGGTTTTGACAAAAGGAAGCAAGTGCTCAGAGTGTTCAAGGGGCAGAGCACCCTCTGTCCCATCCCCTCTCCAGTGTAACCTGACAGCAGTGATTACTATGGTTTTTCAGGCGCTCCTTTGCAAGATATTTATTTTGAAAACCATTTCAAAGACTTCCTGCTTGATTAGTAACATTCGCTGAAAGCCCCTAACCACAGGAAGTTGTGGAACTGGCCAAATCATTTTAACTTTAGGAAAAAGAGAAGGTAGTAAAGTTCATTATGAACTTGATTCAAAAATCAAGGCAATTGCAACGAGTTTGTGATGGCTGGGATCGATACCAGCATGCTGAGGAAGACAGGTATTGACAGGGAGTGACCTCCGCAGGACGAGAACGCCACCAAGGCGCTGTGACTTATCACGGAGATGGGGCTGCTGTAAGAGTGCCTCTGGTTTCTTTATTGCATATCGATTTAGCCAAGGTGATTAAATTCTAATTGCTAAGGACAAATCACAAAAGCATTTGCCAGAGCAAAAAGAAATCAAGTGAGGGGGTGGAGACCTTTCGATAATTGTACCCATTGGTATTCCTGACAGTTTTCTAAAGATGATCCAGGATCAAAAAATAATTGGGAGGTTCAGTGAAGGCTAGGAACTAGACACCATTAGAAATACAAATGCAATAATTATACTCTTCTTGCATACCTCACTATCCAAAGTAATGTGTAAAACTCCTGTCAGTAACATTTAAACTTCAAGCACTTCTACCTTGAATTAGTAATTGAATTTTTAAAGTGCCTTTAATCCTTTTCACAATATCAGATAATATGGAATCCCCCCAACATTTTTATGAGAAATTTTAAACATATATTAAAGAAGAATTATATAGTAAATGTCTTTGTACCTCTCATTTGCCATCTATAATTAATATTTTGCTATCTTTGCTTTGTCACATGCCTAGCTATCCTTATATCCATCTATCTGTCCAATCATCCATCCATCCATCCTATTTTTTATGCATTTCAAAGGATGCTGCAAACATCAGTACAGCAGAGAATCTGTGTTTTACACCAGAGCCCAGGTAACTTCTCCGTTTTCAAAGCTTATGTGCAACTGTGATCACATCTCACCCCCTTGTCACCTCTCATTTAGAAAACCAGGCTCAGCTGACCCACATTTCAGGCTTGTTGTAACGAATAAATAAAATAATAATTGCAATGTTCCTACCGTAAAGGGGTCTGAGCTCTGATAGATGGAGCTCGCCTGCTGTGCTTACTAAACAGGAATGATTTTCTTTGGACTGAATGAAATGAGGCATCTGAGGTTGGCCTCAGTTGCATTCTGGAGGATTCATGAGCGGGATCTGTAACACCAAGGATGCTAACCCACGCTCAAGTTTCCTTCCTTCAACAGGAGTGAAGACCCCCTCACCCTGGGCCACTGGCATGAGCTGCACGTGTCTCGCACAGCAAAAAATGGGATCTTACAAGTGGATAAGCAGAAGGTGGTGGAAGCGATGGCAGAGGTAAGAAGGATATGCTTTAGTGGAAACTGGGGTAGTGTTTTCTTCCTCTCCTGGTGAGAAGAGCAGCAGCGTAGTGGGTAAGTACACGGACCCCAGTGCCAGGCTGCCTTGCTTAACACCCAAGCTCCCCACTGGGCAGGTTTCTTCACTTTTCTATTCCTCGGCTGTGAATGGGGGAATGATATGGGAGGTCTCTTATAGTTGTTGCAAGGATTGAGTGAGCAACTACAAGTATGGCATTTATAAAATTGCTTGCCACCTCCACCCCTACCGCTGATCCCTGCCGTTGTTCGAGTCAGTGTCTGATAGTCAGGACACGGACTTGGAGGGCAGGCTTGCGGGGTGCGAGTCATACACCTGACCCTAGGCTCCTGGGTTCCAGATCTAGTTCCATTCCGTCAACTCACATGGGTCATTTGACCTCCAAGTTTGTGTTTTCTCATCTATAAAATGGGGATAATGGTGATGATAATAGGGCCTAGTTCACAGAGTTGTGCAAATGAGAATAACTATACATGTAAAACATAGTGTTACTAACGCACGGTCAACACTATGCAGCTTGACTTGTTAATAGAGTGCTCTCGTGACCTCAAGAACTAGAATTTCTACTTGTTTATAACCTTCATCCATGATTTTATTCCCAAGGCCATGTCCAAAGAAAATAACATTTTTAAGAAGAGATAAGAGAGGTTTATTTTAAAGTATAACCTACCAGGATTCTTTACACACGAAACATTTAGTCCCCCCAAAACAATGGGGACTTTGGATTTTCTACTATTTTAATTCCCAACATTGTTGTTCTGAACATCACCAGATTTATTTATTTATTTATTTATTTGAACATCACCAGATTTAAAGAAGCTATTAATGAATGTGGGTATTCTGATAAGAAAATGGATTGGTAGAAAAAGAAAAGGAAGGAAAAGAGACTTTTGGTGAGGAAAGAGGTACTGGGTTGAAGAAGAAAAAAAAAGGAAGGACACATATATGTCCAGAGGCCAGCATTAGGGGTGGCAGTGGTGAGAGGTCCTGTCCAAACCAAGGACCTCCTCATGATTAGAAGAATCCCAAACTGAGTTCTGCTTTAAGAGGTGAGGACCCTTCAGACCCACAAAATGTTCTATATGTATTTTGGAAGGAAGGAAAGAAAGAGAAAGGGAAGGAAGGAAAACAGGTTGGAGGGGAGGGAGGGATGGATGGAGGGAAGGAGGGAGATGGATTGTAAAGGGAGAACAGGAATCACTTCTGATATGACCCAGAAAATTCTAACAGCTGAATTTAGTCCAAGATAGAAGTAGAAATTCACAGCTGTAGACTTGACTGTATGTTGACTTAATATAAATTCAAAAAAGCACCGTATCTCTGTAGGCCTTAGTCACAAATATTTGTACAACAGGAACAAAAGTTCAGTATGGGTATATTTGTAGATAGTAGGGTCAAGGCCTTTGGTTACAAATAAAGAGCTCTTCAGGACATGGTATTTTACCATTGGTATTCTACAGCGAAGAGACAACACAAAGGTAGAAACCATACCTCACAGTTTCTGTTGCTACCATATCAAAGAGTGAGAATTAAACCAATATGGTGGAACCTGTGCCTCCCTGTTGGCTTTTGAACCAGACAGGCCTGGAGCACAGCTCCCACCTGGAAAGCGATGTAAACATGAGGGTAAAGTGTAGCTATTCTGGGTGCATGTGCGGTGGTTTTATCTTTTTTTTTTTTTTTTGAGGCAGCTCTGAAGCAGGTGTGGAAGTCCCCATGCTTGATCTCAATGAGCTGAGCCTTAATCACATCTTCCCCCCAGGGCTTTCTGTTCCCCAGCTGCCCATACCACGTCCAAAGGCATTGCTGACCCTTTTGGTGATAGAGCAGTGCTATTAGGAATAGTGGTCCTAGAGCTTAGAGATAGCTGGGATTAGAGAACACTGCTGGGGGTCAACCCAGGATGTCAGCCCCTAAGTGTCCACACTAAAGCCAAACTGAGTCCTGGGTCGCTCAGCTGAGAAATACCAGCCATCCAGGGTTGAGTCCATGCCCGACTTAAGGGCTCTAGAAACCCCAACCAGTGGCTTCACTCAGGTTTCCCATCCACCTCCAGCTAACCAGAAGTGGCAGATCTAGACACAAAGCCTCATTTTGGTGGGGTCTATTTGCTTTTCTCTTGCGGTTTCCCGTGGGTGGGGCAGCTGCAGCCCAGCCTCTTGTCGATGGCTTGGGGGTGGGGGCGAGGGTTTACTGAGCAACCGAAGGGAAGCAACTCTCACCCCATGAGGCTGGTCCTGTTCCAACTCAAAGGTTCTTCAAAACAGCCTGTTTCTCTGAAACCCTCTGACCCTACAGCCTTCCTCCTCTCCTCTTATTATCTGACTTGAACTTTTGGGTAGCAGTTAAGACGCGACAGTGATGGGCGCCTGTGGGTGTGTGGTGACAGCTGCTGCCTGGGGCCGTGTTCTAGGCAGCCGCTAGAAGTCCGGAAAGCCCTTCGGCTACTTTGTTGAGCACGGCATCCTGCCAACCCTGGGCCAGTTAAGCAAGAACCCCGGAAGCTGCTGAAGGTTATTGACTGAAGGCAGTGCTGTTCGCATCCCAGTCAAGACCTCTCTGCCGTTACCTGGCTGGACCCCGCCACTGTGCGCTCCCCCCAAGACGGTGCCCCTTCCTCTCTGCCCTCCCTGTCTCCCCTTCCCTACTTGGACCTGGTGCCACTTCCATTCTCCTCCCTCCGGCCAGTGATCTGCCTAAAACACAGATAGGACTATTTTCTTCCACTGCTTTTTGGGTACAGAGCAAATTTCTATGCACGCAGTGTCTAATCCCTCCCTGCCTCTGTTCTATACCTACTGTTTCCCCGCAAGCCCTGACTTTGTCTGGTTTCTATAATTCTGACTCTTCCTCAACCACCTCCACCTCCCCAACTCTCTGAGTCCAGGCTAGGGTATGGGACACACACCTCCCCCCAGCAAGTACTTCTAGACTCACCGGAACTGTCCTTGCTGAGCTAGTCCCACCTGCCCGTGTAAGCCTCTGGAGGGCAGGAACTTCCTTGTTCCCTCTTGTCTGGCCAGCATTTAGTGCCTGGGACACAGAAATGCCCAATAATACTGATTAAATCAATGACTAGATGATGCTACTATCTATATTTCATTTCCCCATAAGTCGGAGGCAACCTGACTTACGTTACCTAAAGAGTGCTCATCCCAGAGGTCTCAGATTTCAATGTGTCTCCCTTTGTTGGAACATTTTAACTTTTTGCTTACAGCTCTTATCTGGAGGAATTTGGACACTAACTATGACACACAGTTTGTTGTCCAGCCCACGCCTGAGAGTTTAGGCTGGGAAGTAACCAGTAACAGGGAAAGCCTCTGAGGGTTGACATGGGAACTTTTCTCAGAATATGGAAAACAGAAGAATTTCTCTATCCTTTGTAGTTGATAAGGAATGCCTCCCACCCACCACGCCTGCCTTTTCTCTTGGCCTCCAGCGGTTCTGTCTTTACCACTGCCAATAGCTGGTCACACAGGAATGCTGATTATGCATCCAACCGGGGGCAAAGTGCTAAGGAAGCAGATCTCAGCCTTCAAGAGAGGCTAGACTGTGCTCATGGCAATCACAAACGCCTCCGAAATATCAAAAGCTACAATAAGGGCTTATTTCTCACTTGCATATCCATCCGTGGTCAGGCGCAGCTTTTTGTAAAAAAAAAAAAAAAAAAAAGATTTTATTTATTTATTTGAGGTGGTGGGGAGGATGGGGGCAGACGGAAAGACTCTCAAGCAGACTCACCACTGAGCACGGAGCCTGAGGTGGGACTTGATCTCACCACCCTGAGATCATAACCTGAGCCAAAACCAAGGGTCAGATGCTTAATCGGCTGAGACCCCCAGGCGTCCCTGGTCAGGTGCAGCTTGAATGGTGCACCCAGGCTGAGAGTCACCGTGAGCTACTCTCTGGCTCGGAAAGCTTCTGCGAAGACGTGATTCATTTCTCTGCTGCCTGAGTTTTATTGCCTGGAGCCAGCTCCCTGGCCCCATCAAGATCAGCAGGTTGGAGCTGGTCTTCCTGCAGGGAGAGGGGGTGCTTTTGGAGAAGCGCTGACTACGGGTGGGCAGTCGTGCAGCCCACCACACGCACCGTGACAGCTCTCGGCGGTAGACATTAGGGTTCCCATTTTATAGATGTCGAAACAGAGTCTCAGATAGGTTACTGCACGTACAGACGTTCCAACAGTGGGGGTAAATGGCGATGCCGGCCAATGGGGAAGTCCAGCCAGCCTGCTGGGCTGTGTCCCCAGGGTGTCTGTACCCGTTGGTCGCCTTGACTACCTTTTCCGAAGCTATGTCGTGTTTCTTGTCTCCTCTGTTGGCAGGGAGGCTTCACGCAGATTAAGTGCAACACGGACATTTTTATCGGCGGAGTCCCGAATTACGATGATGTGAAGAAGAACTCGGGCATCCTGAAGCCATTTAGTGGAAGCATCCAGAAGGTACCGGCTTCACTTACGCATGTTTGTTGTGTGGCCTGGTCTGCAGATGATGGGATCGAGAACTGTGATCGCTGTAATCCAATGCCTCCAAAAAAGAAGCTTGGGGAAAGTTTTAAGGTTTTCTTTCTTAATGCTAGCCACAGAGCTTTCCAATCCCACTTTCTGATAACGTCTGCTCCCAGGCCTCTGTCCAGCAGACATTCCATGAACGCAGCTCAGTGAAGATGAATCCTTACAGCCAATCCACCAAAGGATCCGGGCAGTGCTGAGGGAGGGAGCAGGTGTCAGGTGATTGCCGATGCTTCTACCAAAGGGAAGGAGGCCAAGGGGGTCTCCTAGACAGTCTCGGCTCTGTGCTTCTCTTTGGGGTTACTCTGCGGTCTGCTCAAGAGCCAACCCCCAATCCCATCTCCATGCCCACTGCCACCCCTGCAAGTTAACAATTGTTCACCCATCACATAACCCAGCCCCTAAGAGCATAGATGAAGGAAGTCCTTCCATAGAAGGTTTAGCAAAAACAATCCTTCAGCTAGTTAAAGCTATAGGACACTGACCCCACTCATATTTGTCTGTTATTCCTTCCCTTGGGGCTGCTCATGACCTCTCCGGTTATGATAACATGTTTTGTCTATAACAGACATGCAGGCTGGCTCACCAAACCAGATTTCCAGGACCATGAAACCCTGGGAGAAAAAGGATTTGAAGAAAAGCATATTCGATTCCTGGATGTTAGCTTTGTCCTGTTTTCCTTAAGCAACCAATGGTGGGCGGTGGGCCGCTGATCCTTTCTAGCCTTGGGATGAAGCATGGGGGAGGCCAGAATGAAGGAGGCCAATGAAAGGAGGCCCTTTCATGATTTGCACTCAGAAAGGCCCCGCGGAGCTCTTTCTCCTCTTGTATCCCGGTGTGGGTTCCACAAAAGGGGTCCAGTCAAACTTGCTGACTCTGATGTGTTTCCCTGTGTGGCTGAACAGTGATATCCGTGACACCTCAGCTCAGCCCATAGTCCCCCATCAGCACAGTTGGCTGTGTTTAATCATGTTTTTGAAATTCTCACTTAGAAAGCAAGCTGAGATGCTAAGGGGCCCCATGCCCTCTCCCCACCCTTGTCAGGCTTTCCCCCTCCCCCCTCTCACAGCACACAGAACCCTTTCCTCCGCACCTCCTGGGCAGGACACCCTCCCCTCCCAGAGGCTGAGTCACTGGCTCTGCTATGTCCCGCGGTGGACGGTAGCATCTTGGCTTGTCTCAAGTACGTATGACTCAGTTTCACAGTCTTTCACTTGGAGCATGAAAAGGGGGCAACTATAGAAGGATTCTGGCTGCTTTCTTGCAGCTTGTAAGATTCAAGACCAGGAAAAGAAGTGTTCTCCCAACTCTCCCGACACCCTCCAAGGTCCAGGCAAGCCTGTGGAACCACGCATTAGTGGCAGGAAGGACCACGGCTAACCTCTCAGGACGCCCTGCAGGGTGGAGGTCTCTGTCCGCAGGTTCCGCAAAGTGACTCGAACATGCAGCCGAGGTTGGAAGTGCATGACACTGAAGCACCCACAGCTCAAAACAAGCACACTCTCCACAGCAAGGACTGAAAAGCTTGGCTCCGTTTATTTGGGGCTGGAAACCCAGTAACCTCTCCCTGTCATCCTTCACTTGCACTAGAGCCCCCACTGCAGGGAGAAGGGTGTGAAGGCAAAGGAGCTCTCCTGTCGCAGTGAGTCTGCATGGCAGTGCTAAGAATGGCATCTGAGTTTCTTTCTTTTTTTTTTTTTTAAACGGTGGGGAACAGGATGTGGAGAGGAAGGGAATTCAAGAGTGTCAGGCAGGGAGGGTAGCGGAGTGGGTGGGACAATCGGGAAGACCCAGTTGATGGAGCTGTAGATTCCCTGGAGCCCATTAGGCAGAAGAACACAGCAGCACAGGGAGACGCTTCTCCCAGCCCCACTGCCCCCGGGAGCCATCCATTCCCCTTTGGTTCCTGCCCGTGTGGTTCTTTCTCTTGTATTCTTTCCTGTTGGCTTCACAGCAGCACCTTTCAACCTCGGCTGCATCTTCGAGTCACTTGGAAAGCTGTTAAAAGTGACTGCTGACCGGCCCCCACCCTCAGAGATGCTGAGGGGGACCTGTGTGGCCCCCGGCCATCGGTACTTTTCTTAAAGTTCCCCAGGCCATTCTAACAGGCAGCCAGGTTGAGGACCCTCATTTATGGGGACCTCTTTACGACCTCCTGGAATCTTCCAGAGCCAGAGGATGCTTTCCTCTCTGCAGAGTCTCCCAAGGGCCACAGGTAATGACATCAGTTTCTGCATCGCTTTTACAAGGTGATAAAAACCGGAACTGGACGTTCTCTCTTTTATGAAAGCTCCTTCACCAGGCGTCTTGCAGGTGAGGATGCCGAGGGAGGCTTCAGCCGACTGTGAACATGTGTCCCGAGTGCCCGAACATCTTGACCTTTTGTCCCCTGCAGATCATCCTGAACGACCGCACCATCCACCTGAAGCACGACTTCACGTGGGGCGTGAATGTGGAGAACGCAGCCCACCCCTGCGTGGTGGGGCCCTGTGCACACGGGGGCAGCTGTCGGCCCAGGAAGGAGGGCTACGAGTGCGACTGCCCCCTGGGCTTCGAGGGCCTGCACTGCCAGAAAGGTAGGCATGGAGCGGGAGGGGGTGTCTCCAGAAGCACGGGGGCCGCACTCTTCCAGGAGGGGCTGCGAACCCCAGGACAGCCAGGCACGTGGTTTTGAGCAGTGAGTTCAGGAATGTGATAGCTGGCATGTCCCATGTTTAATTATCCTATTAAAGAAGAATCATAATGTCAAAATACCTCTAACAGCGGGCCTCTTCCCTGAGAATGCCCTGATGGTCTGGGAACCAAAAGCTTAAATCCTAGTGTAGAGGGGGTTTCCAGGACCCTTGCCTCTGAGCCGTACCCAGAGTCTGTCCTGATAGGTGGGTGCCTGGGCTATAGAGGCTGGTAAGTATGTTGACCTCTACCTGTGAACGCGATAACGAGAAATCTGAGAAATCTTGCCCAGGACAGAAAAAGGTAAATTCTGCTGAATTATAAATAACCTTCTGTGAAGTGCTATTTTTCATGCTCTTTCCTCTGTGCCTGGGTTTCCTCCTCAATAAAACGGGAATAATCATGCAATAATGTCTAACACAGAGGGTGGTAATGTAGGTTAAATGAGGCGATGCTTATTCCTGAGAAACATGTCTACTAAGCCCTCCACCAGTACTCACCGTCATTGTTATTGGTGAGAAGAAGAAAATCCACTGCACATGCCGAGAGCTACTCAGCTTCCAGCCCGCACTTGTCTGAAAGCTAGAGTAGGTGACAGGCCTCCAGTCCCTACTGGATGGAGCTTCCGCACCTGCCCCAGGGAGGCCACGGACCTTGTGTCTGGAAGACGCCTACCAGCATATGGTCATGTTGGGCCATTGGATCTTTTTGTTTCAAATATTAGTACGGCCTCACCTGTCTGGGAACTAATTAAAAAAAAAAAAAGGCATCAGGCCACAGGAAGTGAGGAGGTGAGCCTAAGTGAAGGGATGTGTGCTCTCTCTTTTCCATCTGTTTCCAGGTTCCTGAACTTTATCAGCATTTGGGCTTAGGGGAAGACAATTACAGGCAGATGCTACAGTGTCAGAATAGTAGGAGAACTTGTTTTGCAGTGACCAAGGGAAATAGGAATGCTAATTTGCTGGTTGGAAGCCTGCATCGTATTTTATTACAGTGAATTTTGAAAACTGCGTGGCAAATTATATGAAATACATTTATGAACATAGCTCACCCTAGTGATGAAGCCCCGAAGAAGAGTAATGGATCCATTTCTGGAAAGATCCTGATTATAATTCTAACAAGCAAATTGTTGTTTGGCTAATGGCACGTACTTGTGGAGATTTAGTTCAAGAGCAGCCCATTCATTCGGAAAATTGAGTTTGGATTTTACACATTAGTGTTTGAGTTTCCTGGGTCTCCAGCTTTACCAGAAGCAATTCAGATTTGCTCCTGCCTTAAATACTCACCTTAATGGTCCATATATAAAGTCCAGGCTTAAATGAACGTCTCACTTAGAGAACTAGAGGAGGAAGGACAGGATAATTTGCGATCTTGTTAAGCCTCGTTTTCCGCTGCAGAGCAGTAGCCATAACAGATCTAAAGTGCTCACATTTATAGCTTCGTAACTGTGGGTTCGGGTTCAGTGAGAAGCAAGTATCACCAGCGTGAGGAGTCAAGCCCCAGGGAGGTCCTGGACAGCAGCCAGGGGACCTGGGGGGCATTAGGCCTCTTTTTCTGGAATATGCTAGGCTTGAGGCCAGAGTAAAACCCAGGCCAACTATCACCTCCCCTCGTGTTGTATCAGTGTTTCCTTATGCTTTGAAATAAAGATAGCGTTTCTGCCCCAATAGCAGCCATGGCTACTCCTAGGAAGGCTTATGCATGGCAGGGGGCTGGGTGGCCTATAGCAGTCATTTCTTCTGTTATATGGCTTGAAAGCATTAATGAGAGACTGGGTACAGGTTAGGCTGTTAAGGACAATTTTTTCTGGACCCCTGCAGGCACGTGGTAGCATGCATTTGTCACACGGACTGCTCTAATATTGGGGTGAGCATCTCGTCCTGAGTGAGGATTAGAAAGAGGAGGGAGAGAGATGGGCTGCTCTACTGTTCCACAGAGATACAGAAGAACATTCTAAAAGTTTGGTTAGATTCTTGGTGGGAGAGACCAGGAATGCTCAGAAGCCATCCTTGGTCGTCAGGATGAATCCTGACAGGTAGACAGGAAACGGTCTTGTCTAATCCAGCGAGGTGGTCCCTAACTTCCTATATTTAAAAGTTTGGGCCTTTTTTTTCCCCTCCCTGATAACCAGATCATGTTTCAAAAGCAAGAACCTCTTCTTAGTATTCCCTCTGGAAGTTAAATCCTTTTACAACAACACATTGCGGAAGTCACCAGCGCTAGGCCTCATTCAATCCATGCCACCTTCTCTTCCAGCAGTGTAGTGTTGGGGAATCCCTGGTGGGTCTGGTTTTCTCTACCCTGGTCAGGGAGTTTGTGGCACGCAGGTGATTTCCGCTAGGACACTCATTGGGAGCTTGGCACCTGTTCTCACCTCTTGGTGGCCCAGGAGGGTTGGAACCAGAAACTCGGGCAAATCCTGGAGTGGTCTAGACACCCAGACCATCACAGGGGTCTAGGGACCTCCCCCTCTGTCCCTGCAAGGCTGAGCTCAGAAAGAAGTAGGCATCGAACTCCCACTGAGTTCCTTACTGCTCCCGGGACGCTGTGGGCTCCCTGCAGTACCAGCAGCTACAGAAGACTGAACTGTCCACCTCAACCTGGGGAACCCACCAGGCCAGGAGAAGCCAGTTGTTCTGACTCCCAACCTACTTCTAACTTCAGGTGCCTACAAAAATCATACAGCCTGACTTTGGTGGTCCCCTCTCCTTCCGTGTGGGGTGTCTCACTCTTAGGTGCCTTCTGCCACCTCAAATCTAGGCACCCCCTTGGGACACCCCAATACTGAGACCCCCCCTTCTCCTCTCACAAGAGGGGTGTCACGAAGGCCTCCCTCCTCAGAAAAGGTATGCCCCGTCCTTACAGATTTCGTTTCTCCTTCTCTCTATTCTCATCCAAATTTACCCATCTTGCGTCGGGTCCCTCAGAGTTCTTGTATCTCAGTAGGTTACTAGTGAGTTAAAGCAGAATTTAACAAAGCTCATGTACAAAATTAGGTTCTAAGAAATATTAATGGCTGTTCTGAGCACACATGCGAAGACGGACAACATGCGTTCACAGACACAAAATGGGAGCTGGGGTTCTGTGGGCACGTAAGCTTGGGTAATCCTGAATAACCCCAGTTTCAACAACTCTCTCTTCTGGGGGACTTCTTGGCGCCTTGGCTGTGATCGGAGTGTCCAAGACAAGGTAGAGAATGCAGCTGTCTCCCCCGGGGCTTCTCCCAGCCAGTAGCACACAGGCCATTTGGAAAAGAACTCTGAGGCCTGGGCCTCCCTTCCCTGCATTGACCGAGTTTGGACTCGGGGCGTGCAGGACTCGTCCGGCCGCTAGGTGGCGGTGTTTCCCTGCAGCGGGAGAGCCGCTCCGCACTCATGACTGACCGGGAACTGGGCTTGGGCACACGGTCCTCAGTCCTACAGGATGGGATCTTGTCTCATCATTGCACATCTACCCCAAATGCAACATTTCGAACATTTTCTATTGTGTTTAGCCAATTCACAGCACACTGCGAGGTCTGATTTAGATGATTTTGCTTTTTCTGGTCCCAATATATGAAAAAATAGTTCAGTACATGTAAGCCATAATTTAGGAAAAATCAGTCTATAAATGCACAAATTCGTACAGCATATTCCTTATGCAGGCTATAGGGACTGTTTTTTCCTTAGCTTGTTGTGTCATTCAACAATGGAGCAGTGTGGTGGTGTTCAGCCTGGATGGTGGTCTTTTTTTTTTTTTTTTTTTAAGATTTTATTTATTTATTTGTCAGAGAGAGAGAGAGAGCGAGCACAGGCGGACAGAGTGGCAGGCAGAAGCAGAGGGAGAAGCAGGCTCCCCACAGAACAAGGAGCCCGATGTGGGACTCGATCCCAGGATGCTGGGATCATGACCTGAGCCGAAGGCAGCTGCTTAACCAACTGAGCCACCCAGGCGTCCCCTGGGTGGTGGTCTTGAGAGAGTTGAAGGCTGGTCCTGGACAGAAAGGGGTTTGGTGGTTGTTACTCCAGCTACAGAGGCTGCATCATGGAACCAAGAATCCTGGACCAAGTAGAACTGTCCAGCAAGGGAGGGTGCTGCCTGGTGGATGAGGGAGCTGCCTCGGGCCCGGTGGCCATCCATCAGGATGTTGCTGGGTTGGGAAAGTTAGGTTACAGCCCCCCAGGTCCTTCCTTCTCTGGGGCCCTGTGACTGTAAGGAAGAGCCCGCACCCCGCCAACTCGGTTGGGAATCTCATGTCCCTCAAGTGGAAAATTGGCTTCGTGTGGCTTGGAGGCGGCTATTCATTGGGTACTTTTTTGTGTCAGCAGATGGCACGAACTTTTAGGTATAAACGTGAAAACGTGACAAAAACACTTCTCCACTAGTGCCTTTGCTGCAGAAGAAAAGATGGTGTTGAAAACATCGGGTTAGGATAAAATATCATCATGTTTACAATATTTAAATAAGCTACAGAGGGCCGGAAAGGGCTAGATGGTCACTTCCAGCTCTCGTGTTCTAGCCCAGAATTAATATTTATCCACATATACTGCCTGCAGTGAGTAGATTTTCACCATTTTCTATTCAGTCCGGTCATTCCTGGAGCATTCCCCTTGCCCTTTGTTAATCACAGAATGAGCAGGGCGGGGTGCGGGGGAGAGTTGGGGGATATTTTTCCATCACCGAGAGAAAAGAGGCAGCTGGCTGGCTTCTCATTCCTCTTTCACATGTAGCTAGAGGCAAGAAAAGTAATAATCATTGACAAGGTAAGTAACTCTTTAGCAAAGAACTGTTTCTCCAGGTTTAGAATAAACGGGGAATTGTTAGTTCGAACTCAGGGAGCCTCAGAAGTGTCAGAGGAGGGACACATCCCTTCTTTGTCCACCCCCCACCCCACCCCCACCATGAAGTGGAGGCTAAGGGAGGGGAGTTGGTGCTAATTGTGCTGAGAAAGATTCCAGCGGTTCCTGTGGGATTCTAGTCTCATTCCTCTAAGAGGACAAGCTGGGCCCTCTCAGGGCTTTATGAGGGAAATAAGGCCGGTTTCCAGTGATCTGCAACCGAGGTATTTGGGATTTTACAACAACTGTGGAATTCTGACTTTCCCTGTTCTGTTCCATGCTGGCACCTGGCAGAGTGTGGAAACTACTGCCTCAATAGTAAGTACAATAGGTCCCATGAGACACCGTGAAAGCGCCCTGGGCTCCTGCCAGGGGGGCTCTGGCCAGGCCGTGGGCTCCGTGCAGGCCAACCGCATGTGGAGGGTAACTTGGCTCAGTGGTGTGGGACTCGGCCGCTCCACTGGGGAGGTGGGACTCCTCCCTCTAAATCCAGCAGGCCCGGGATAGCACTCCTCTCCCAGCGGGACCTCGGGGAGAGCCTGAACCCCAGAGCTGGGCGCCTGGCAGACAGCTGACCCCTTGGAGGCTCTCTGCCCAGCTGACATGTGACAAGCACATCCTGCCCATTTCAAGGAGTCCAGGGGAACGATGGCTCTTGGCCACGGGCCCACGCCCATGGCCAATAAGGGCAGGCCCAGACCCTGCCTGTGCCTCTTACCCTGGGGGTGAGCCAAACCCAGCGGGGGAGCCTTGGCTATGTTTAGCTCTGGGAATGACTCCTCTGACAGCTTGGCTAGCCTCTCCTTTTACCTCCTGGGCACTCGTATCCTGAAGTTAGGGGCCCGCATCCCACCAACAGGCCCCCTTGTCCCTCTTCCTCTCTTGCCTTCTCATTTCGACTTCTACTCCTCTGGGTCCTTCCCTCGCTGCCTGGCTTCCGCCCCACTCTTTCCCCCACCTGAAGGCTGCCCGGGCACTCGGCTCTCCTTTCCCTCCTTGGCAGCTTCTTTTCTCCTTCCCCCCCTCTCCTTCTTTCCGTTCATTTTCCTCCTCAGCCCATATTTTGCATCCCCGCTGTTTTTACCTGTCTCTGTTTCCCTTCCTTTTCTTCCCCTCTTCCTCATACCTGCTTTAACCAGAGGGAGAGAGGCTGGCGGTGTGGCCAGAATTTTGGAGTTAACAGTAGCCCCCCCTTATCTGTGGGGGGCACCTGCCAAGACCCCCAGCAGATGCCTGAAACCACAGACAGTACAGACTCTCATATACTCTATGTTTCTTCCCAGCCGTGCTCACCTACGATGAAGTGTAGCATCTAAATTGGGCACAGTAAGAAGAGCAACGACAATAACTGATGATAAAATAGAACCCTTCCGACCACACACATAATCAGAGTTTTGTGACCATGGTCTGTCTCTCTCGGATACATTATGGGACCGTGCCCACCCTTCCGGTGATGCTGAGAGGGGAAATGGCGGTTCGGTGGGATGAAGTGAGGGCAGTGACACAGGCATGGTGACCCAGCATTAGGCCCCTGTTGGCTTTCTGACAGGAGGAGCATCTGCTAGAACATGGCCAACCGCAAGTGACTGAAAGCATGGCCAGCGAGCCCACCAGTAAGCGGGGCCACCGTCCTAGATCGAGCCTTCCTTGGTTCCAGTCGGCACCCCCTGGGCCGGCAGCCCCCTGTCCGGAGCTGTGAAGTGTCAGAGAACATGAAAGCAATTTCTTGAGCATTACCTCTGAAATTATTCGACTTTCATTTTTCTTCCTTTGCTTTTCTTGTTCCCTCCCTCCCCCTCCTCCATCCTTCTTTCCTTTTTTAAATTTTTTTTTTTTTTTAAACATTGTGGAAACCTGCACGGGTGACCTGCCAACAGAGGAATTTATCCTTGGGGCTCAAGGTCATTGGGTTTGGGGGTTCGCTGTTGCCTTTCTCTCTCTCCTTTCTCTCTGTCTCTCCCTTTCTCTTTTCATGATGAGAAGTTAAGTGTAAACTTTCCTGCAGTTCATAGTATCAAATAATTTTACGTTTTCTCTCCTGGGCGTGGAGTCAGCTCGGTGTCTCCTTTGCATCAAGCATGCTTTTTGGTGAAACTCTAACTGCTCTTATAAGCTGGCTTCTTCTCTCTCGTTTTGCACGTCTCTTCAAAAATGCGATTCATTCCATCTTAATTTCCTTCAACGGTCATTTCTCTGTCTTTCTGAAGGGAGAAAGATATAGCCATGTGGGAAAGGGTGATTCCTTAGGAAAACAAAGGCATGAGACATTAGGAAGAAGCAAATACACTGCTAAGATACTGGGAAGTCCGAGGTGGGCTGAGGGCCAGAATTAAGAAGAGCCCACCTGCTATATGGTCTTATGCTCTCTTTGCTGTGTGACCTTGGGCAAATCCTTGATGACCCCCATGCATCGTCTTCCACTTCTGTGACATGGGAATAACCAGCCGTCCTCCATACTCTCTGCTACTTCATGAGAATATGGTGAAGAGGCTCTAAAACATGACACTGGAAGGTGATTTATATTTAAAAAAACAAAGAACAAAAAAACAAAAACAACTGAGCCGAAAACCTTATCCTGCCTACTTCACCAGTCTCTTGAAGTCATGGCTGAAGGAGTAGGAGTCCTAGAGCAGATTGGCTTCAGATAATGAAATCCTGGTGGGCTTTGTTTGGGGATTGTTTTCTCTGCCTCCCTTGGAGAGTATCTAGAGTTATCCCCAGCTGTTCCCCACATGGCCCAAGACCTACTCTTTGGCTTCCAAGAATAATTGGGCACAGTTCAAGTTTCAGCATACTGCGAGGACTTCTCAGTAGTGCTGAGGCCAGCAGCAGTGACAGCCAGCCCCAGGGAGGTGACCACGGGGAGACACCAACCCCAAGCCGTGACAGGCAGCTCCGAACCTGGCTAAGTACGTGGGCAGCCAAGAGGAAGGGGCTGACAAGTTGTTAAATGTCCCCTTTCCAGGAGCTGGCATCCTCTGTAGTTTCCTGCCCTGTGATTGAGGGCTGGGGTCAAGAGATCCGAATACCATGTAACCTCCATTTTCTCTTCTGTCTCAGCCATCACAGAAGCCATTGAGATCCCGCAGTTCATCGGGCGCAGTTACCTGATCTACGACAACCCAGATATCCTTAAGAGGTAATAAGTTATAGGGGGCACCTTCCTTATCTCTGCGGGGGTCCATTTCTCAAAGTCTTTCCCAGGACTTTTCCTTATCTTACTTGCCAGAAGATAATTCTCCAAGAAGGCCATTGAGCCATGGCCTCAGGGGAGGGGAGAAAAACTCAAAATAGACATAGAACTAGAACAAAACAAACACAAAAACAAACTCTACTTGAAAAGTGCTGCCTTTCAGACAACCCTGTTACCAACAGCCCAAACCTTTTCTGGTCAGAGGGCCTGGAGGGAGGAGACTGCCCAGCCCCAGGATTTCCAGCAGCCGGGCACTGGGAAGCATTGAGAACTTGACACGCCCCAAGTTGGGGTTCTGAATGTGATTCCCCAGGTGGGACAGTTAGCTGGGCGCTGTCCTCTGGCCACAGTGTGCAGTCCTGCCTGGAGCCAGCAGCGGAAGCACTCCTGTGGTCCTGCCATCACAGTCTTCAAGTCCACATGCTACCTTGCGTCTTCCTCCGCAGAGCTCCACTGTCCCCTTCAGGCTCTGGCCAGTTCAATGAGGGGCTTCTCGGCTCTCCTCATGTGGCTACAAGAGCCTGATCCGAGGAGATGACCAGGTGCTAGCCAGGCTTTTCATGCCTGGTGGCAGAAGCTCCGGCCCTGCCCTGGAGTCCAAGCCCCTGGTTTGGTACCGCGTGCGGACAAGACAAGGAAAAGGCTGGCCCTACCCAGGCAGAGTCCTCACCCTAGCCAAGCTCATCTGTGGTGCTTCCAATGTGCCCTTCTCTCTTTCTTTGTCCTCCTCTAGTTCCTTATAGTTTATAGGGTGCCTTCCCCCACTCTGCCACCAGCACCGTCATTCTAGAATTTTCCTTCCTCTTTAGGTTGACTGCATCTTAGCAGACTAAGGCAAAGCTTTAAGCAAAAGGCACCCAGTACTTAAGGTCGATGAGTTTGGGGGCCTTTCAAGGGAGAAAGTGGTTGAGAGAAATTTTCCCAGGGCGCTGGATGCACCTGGTAACTGAACACACACCAGACGGACACTGCTTCATTTCTTTAATCGCATGTTGTGTTTATCTAGGTTGTCTTGGCGTGGGGTCCAAAGAGAGCCTCTTCCTTTTTCAGCCCTTTCTCCCCAAAGATACAAGGGCATCAGTCCCCAGAAAAAAGCTGACCTGTCTGAGCCCCGTTCCATTCCTCTCAGCTTCCTGTTCCTTTCCACCCTGCCTCCACCCTAGCAGCTCTCAAAACCGTTATCCTATCGAGCCACATTCCTTGTCTGACACTCTTCCCCCTGTCCAGTCACTCCCTCAAGGACAGTCACTGCCAGAGCGGGCAATCCATAGCCATGACCAGGCCCAGAGAGCTGCCAACTTGAACCTCTTGGCAATTAAGAAACTCACTTTCTGTTGGGGAATGGGGAGCAGTATTCCAAGGCCCCTTGAGGGGGGGACAGGAAAGAGGGAATATTGAGGTGTGAATTGGAGGTATAGCCTCGATGCCAGCTTTGGCCAGAGTCTAGCTAATCTGTAACTCATAAAATGGCCTCTTGTGGAGTTTCACCACAGGGACAGAAGACACTGCTGCAGAATGAGTGTCCAGAATTGGAGGCCCATCGTGTGGCCTGTGGTGGTGATGCCATTTGTCATTTCCTGGTAGTATGTGTCAGAAATGCCAGATTACCCTTACACCTGGCTCCCCCGGGGCTAACAGACAAAACTGGGCCTATTTAGAATGGCTGTTGGTGGAGACGGGTTGAACTGTTGGAATAATTTGTGCATTTTCCCCAGGGTATCCGGATCAAGATCAAATGCGTTCATGAGGTTTAAGACAACTGCCAAGGATGGTCTGTTGTTCTGGAGGGGAGATAGCCCCATGAGACCCAACAGTGACTTCATTTCCTTGGGCCTTCGAGATGGAGCCCTGGTGTTCAGGTAACCTAACCCCTCAGGACTGGTCATGCCAAACAGAGTGATGCCAAAGTAAGCCAGCACCCTGTATGCCAAAATGGACCTGAAGGTCCAAGCTTCTGCAAGGCTTTTGGAGTTTCTTTCTAGCATCCACCTTCTAGAGCATCAGTTGGCAAATTTTAGCCTGAGGGCCAAATCCAGCCCGTCACCCGTTTTTGTAAATGGAGTTTTGTTGGAATTCTGCCATACTCATTCACTTATATATTATCTGATTACTTTCATGCTATGGGGGCACACTTGAGTAGTTTCAGTAGGGATTCCAGGGCAAAGCCTAAAATACTTATCATGTGGCTTTTTACACAACATTTTTGGACCCCTGTTCTAGGCCATATGCTCCCCACTTGCAAATTAGGAGGTAGTAGGAAGAGGGCTTTGATAGCGCTGAGCCCAGGTGTGAGTGCTCTGCTCAAAGTGGCTCAGACAGATGTGACCAGCTAAGGTCGAGAGACCTGCCTGTAAATTCTGACTCTGGTCCCTATTAGCTGTGCAGCCTCGGGAAGGAGACCGCCTGCCTTCTGGTCTCCCCTGCAAAGCCAGACCACCTGTCCGTGGACCAACCCAACATTTGGATTTTTGTGACTGCTTCGGGAGTGATACTGATAAGGCAGTCCCAGAAGTTCTTACCTCTTTTGAGTGACTTGAGACTGTTCTCAAATTTGTCAAATGGATCATTCTGAGAAGCAGCTAAAAGATTACTTAGACCACTTCTCCCCACCATGGCAGGTGGGAGCCGGGTTTCCCCAGAGCAGGCACTGGCTTGTGTGATGTGAGAAAGTTTCTTTAGAGACTATGATTGTACATCCTCATTTGAGGTTAGAAATAACTTGTCTAGACCCATGATTCCCAAAACGTGGTCTCTGGACCAGCAGCATTAGTGACCCCCAGAAACTTGTAACAACTCTAGGGGTGGGGCCCAGCCGTCTGTTTTAACTGTTTCTCCTAGTGATTCTGTCCACTAAGGTTTGAAACCCCTGCCTGGTTTCTAGATCATCTATCTGTTCTCTATGGGGATAGGAATTTCTCTGGCTTTTCCTTCTTTAATTCCCCCTCTGGTGACCAGCACAAATTCACTAAATGATATGGGATCAGTTGGAATCAAAACAAAGATGACTGACCTGAGGGGGAGGTGAAGATTTAATTCTGGGGCTGCTGTAGATCATGCACAGGGATTACTGACAATCTGAGTAGAATAATGTAAGTCTTTTCTGTTTGAATAAAAGGCATTTTGACAGGAAATGTCATTTGTGAACATCACGTTTGCCCCTAAACAGCAGAGTGGGCTGGGGGTTGTGATCCTGTGATGGTCGGGGACTTGTGAGAGAGCATGTGGTTGAAGGCTCCGGGCTGGCCGGTGGGAGCACTCTCCCCGTCGCGGCTCCTTTCCCCCCTTGGCCCTGAGGTCAAACACAGAGCTCTTCACACCCCAGTTTCAGGCTGGCTGCCGTGAAGCCATTTTCTTGTGGTTTTCCTGTGGTTAACCTCACCAAGGCCTCAAGTACTTGATTGTGCCCAGAAAGGGGAACTGAAACAGTAGCTCAGCCGTGGGTGGGAGGCCCAGCTTCCCCCCTCTTAAACCACCAACCCCGGACAGGGGAACTGCACTTGGGCCCACGCCGCACCTCCCACCGGCTCTGGGCTCTCACAGCTGGCCAGCCCCCACTTCCCACACCCCCGGGACACCCTCTGATCGCCCCCCTGCATCTCAGACATTTTTCTTCTGTTACCAGTTCTCCCTCAGGATTCTGCAAATGGGCTTGGTGTGTTTCTTTTAACCTGGAGTGGTGGCTGTGTTCTGTGTGGAGGATGCTGGCTTCCCCCCGACCCAGGCAGTCGTCTGTGCCCACCTGTCCCTGGGCCTGGAGCTGCAGTGTCGCTGCCTCTGCTACCTTCCTTCCTCTGAGCAGGCACTTCTCACATCCATTCACCCAGTGTGGATGTAGGAAGTGTTGCGGGAGGCTGGGCATGGAAAGGAATTAGAGTGCCAGCCAGTGGTTTGAAAATGTCAGTGTACAGAGAGTCAGCCGGGAGGGGGAGGGACGTGGCTGGTCTCAGAGGTGGATTCCTGGGACAACCCCAGAGATTCTGATGGCCCAGGGCCTCGGGGGTATCAGAATCCTATTGGAAACGATCAGGAGCTGCACCCTAAGAAGCAGGGTCTGAAATGGTCAACCGCCTGGGCTTGGAGTCAGACATGAGCCATTCCCATGGCCTCGTGACCTTGGGCAAGTTACCCTGCCTCCCTGTAAAAGCCCAAAGCAAACAGTCATGAGGACTGAATGGGTTAACTCATGGGCAGGGCTTAGTGCAGGGTCTGGCCTATCTCGATGTCAGTGGTGCTGATTATTAAAATTGTAATCTTGGAGCAAATGTTTTCTGAGTTTCTGTGTATAAAATTTAGTAAGCAGAAAAGGAATCAAGGTGTTCAGCCAAGAGTATGGTTTTGGGTGGTTTTTGCTTCATTAGGTTTTATGATTGTGTGGGGGGGCATAAAGACCAATGAAGAGGTTTGTGAAAACTGTCTGCTGGACCAGCTTTCCCGCTATTTCCATGTGACCTTGATAACATTTTCATGCAACAGGGAAAAGGAAGAGATCTGACGTTAGCAAAATGCCCAGTGCTGCAGTTCAAAGGGGGTACGGCTAAGGGGGTGGGAGTGGTCACCACACGGAGGCAGCCACATGGTTTCTGAAAGTCTGCACCTGGTGGCTCTCCCTGGCCCCCACCTCGGTGCTCAGCCCCATAGTTTCCCGGCACTGCTAGCTGAGCAGGCAAATTTGGATCAGAATAACCAAGTCCTGCTAACCACATTCACAAGGCATTGATAGAGAAGCCGACATGCACTCATCCGTGCGTTCATTCATTCATTTGTATGTTTCTTCCTTTTCTTTTTAAACTGAGGTATAACTTCCATGAAGTGCACAAATGTTAGGTGTACAGCTTGATAACTTTGGAAAATTTTTAAACGTGCAGACACCTGTGAAACCACCACCCAGAACAAGATAGAGAACATTTCCCACACTCCAGCAGGTTCCCCCATGCCATCTCCCAAAGCAGGTAACCACTATTCTTGGTCTTTCAATATTGTAAAAAACAAAAATTAAAACAAAACAAAGAGATTCTGCAGGGTGACAGGATGTCTGGGGAAGCAGGAGGCTGGTTGGAGGGTCCAACAGCATGCGTGGTGTTGGAGAGTCAGGCCGTTGAGAGGACGTCTGAGCTGCCCACACACACACACTGCGGGCTGAGGTCCTGGCTGCTAAGTTCAGTGTTGACCCCCTTGAGCACGTTCTGGCTCTTTGCTTGAACAGGAGCAAGGTTGGAGAACAGAAGAATGCCCGTCTTTTGTCCAAACAGCTGAAAGGTTTCCATTCACTGGATTACAATCACGTTCCAGTCTAGTGTCCCTGAGATTATCCCCAAGTCACCCTGATTCTGAGATCTGGGTGTTCATGACCTTTGTCGTTACATATTTACAGCCTGTTCGTTCACTCTCACACATGACTACTCTTCCAGGAGAGGCTTGATGAGTTTAACTCTTGGTGGCAACTTTCTCCCTACTACTGGTTCCTCCAGACATATTGTCAATCTTGAATATGAGCTGCATTAAGGACTGTGTTTTTGGGGTGGTGGGGTTACTTGTTTGACTCTTACTGTGTGCCAGGCTCTTTTATGTAATATTCCCTATAGTCCTTTAGGGAAGGTATTATTACCCCCGTTTCACAGATGAGGAAACAGTCTCAGAGTGATCGGCAAACAGCCAAGGTCACAGAGCAGGTCCTTGTCAAGACCTGGAATCAAGGCAGGCTCGTCCAATCCGAGTGCCCACACTCTTTCTGTTACCTTGTACTGCCTTTCATTGATTAAAGCCACCCCTGATGATTCAGCTCAGTGTCTGCCAACCGGCTCTCCGCCTTGCTTCGTCCTCATTCATTTCTTCAAAGAGTTATTTGGCCACTAAATAATGAAACCTGAAAATCCCACCTCCACGCTGACTTTTTTTTTTTTTTAAGATTTTATTTATTTATTTATTTGAAAGAGAGAGATTACAAGCAGGCAGAGAGGCAGGCAGAGACACAGAGAGGGGGAAGCAGGCTCCCCGCTGAGCAGAGAGCCTGATGAGGGTCTCGATCCCAGGACCCTGGGATCATGACCTGAGCTGAAGGCAGAGGCTTTAACCCGCCAAGCCACCCGGCGCCACATCCACACTGCCTCTTACAAGGAGACACTGGACGTGGGAAAATTCATTAGGAAGCTGTAAAGTTTTCAGGATCAGAGTGACAGCTGTGTCTCCTAGCTTGCCAGGTCACCCAAATCGCGTGCTTGGTTCGGTGTTGACGGGCTGGGGGACTCCTTGGAGCCTCCGAGATTACAGAAAGGATCCATCGTGCTTTCCCTGGGGAAAGCCAAGTGCTTTCTCTTCTTGCTCTGCTCTCAGAGCTCAGTAATTAAACCAGGTTTCCCTTCAACATTCCTGTTTCTTGGCCATTGAAGTCACAGAGAGACATGTCCTCTGATATAAGCTGAGGAAAGAGGTGCCATGGTGGAACACATTTTTTTTGAAAAGCGTGATTACATTAGGCTTTATTACATTATCAAGGGGGAGGTCTAGGCGGTTGGCCCAGTGCCCAGCCTGGAGTAGTCACTCACGAAATATTTGTTGAATTGAATTAAACTAGAATTATTAAATGAACAGTGGACTGAGAGGGATGTTTCTCTCTGGTAAACAACACGTGCATGTCTTCCGAGACCCGTAGGGTATGAGAGTATCTGGAAACCGAAATAGAAAATACAAAGCTACTGAGTGGGCCTGCTATCCGAGTAAAATGGGGAGGGAGGAGCAGATAAGACGCCGAATTAAGTCCCATCCATTCGCTTCAGGATTTTAGGCAGATCCTCCTGATATATTCGGGCTCAGCCCATCTGCCATGTTCTGTTTTGTTTTGTTTTTCAGAAAGTGAAAATGCGTGTATTAGTTTCTGAGCGCTGCCATAACAAATGACCACAAAGTGGGTGACAGTAGATTGAAAACAAGAGAAATGTATTCGCTCACAGTTCTGGAGGAGAGATGTCTGACACACAGGTGTTGGCAGCCTTGGTTCCTTCAGGGGGCTCTGAGGAAGAATGTTCTATCCCTTTCTCCCTGGCAGTGGTGGCTGCTGGCAATTCTGGGTGTTTCTTGGCTCTCAGACGCCCCATTCCAATCTCCGCCTGCATCTTCACGTGGCCTTCCTCCCCGCATGTCTCTGTGTCCAAAAATTTCCCCTTTTATGAGGACATATTGGATTTAAGGCCGCCCTAACCCAGGATGACTTCATCTTAACTAATTACATCTGCAAAGACGCTCTTTCTAAATAAGGTCACATTCTGGGGTTTTTGAGGAGACAGTGTTTGACTGAGGACAACGCATTACAAATGATGAAGCCCTTCCTGCTCCTGGTTCTGTAGGACTGACGCTTCTGTACATGCGGCCACAACAAACCAGCCAACAGACACCTTGAGGACCTTGTGCTCAATGAAAGAGGCCATTTACCAAGAGACAAACACTGCATGATTCTACTTACATGAGGTATCGAGAATAGTCAAAGTCACAGAGACAGAAAGCGGTGGTTGCCTGAGGCCGGGGAAAGGTGGATGAGGAGTTGTAATTTCAGGGCTGTAGAGCTTCAGTTTTGCAAGATAAAACGAGTTTTGAACATGCTCAACACTAGTTAACTGACCCTTGAAAATGGTTCAAGTGGTAAATTTTAATGTTACATGTATTTTACTGCAATTAGACTTTAAAGAAAACTTTTTTTTTTTTTTTGGATCATTCATGGCCTACCCTGGAAACCTAATGCTTTTTATAAGATTGTTTTGTTTTGTATTAAGGAAAGTACATTCCGAGTTCCAAGGAATTTTTGCAATGAGAATCGTTCATGGTTGCCTGCCTGTCTGTACTTCACTTGATTCTGTCCGTCTGCTTCTTTTCTCATGCCATTAGCTATAACCTGGGCAGTGGTGTGGCGTCCATCATGGTCAATGGCTCCTTCAGTGATGGCCGGTGGCACCGTGTCAAGGCTGTCAGGTGAGTCCCTACCACAGGGGGAGATGGAGCCGGAGCTCACCAAGAGGTGGATGTCCTATCCACGTCCCTGTGGCCCCAAAGTCCTGCTCCCCAACCTTGCCTGGTGTCCTGATGCTTCTGTCCTGGGTCATTTGGGCCGCTGTTCTTAGCTTTCCCCTCGCTTTTCCCTAACATTGACAGGCCAGAGAACCTGAGCTCCCATTTCTGCGCTCAACAGAGACCTTCCAGAAAAGGAACTTTTTGATGGCTCAACTGGAAGAGCTCCTCGCTTTCTCCTGAGACCTAGGTCTCTAGTGGGATAAGATTTCAGGGCCTGTGGACTTTGAGGAATGCTTCAAATCTCACTGTGTGGGCAACTGCCCACTTTTTTTTTTTTTGGACATCACGTTACCCCACCTTTAGAGGCTGTGTGTGCCCTGCCCCAATTACACATCTCCCCCCTCACAGAGGTCACTACCCTGACTTCTGATTAACTTCGGGTGAATCATTCCTTTAAAATTAGTTTTACTACCTCTGTCCATATTCTTAACAGTATATTCTGAGAAACCAAAGAGCAGGCCCAAACTTAGCTCTGTAAGAACATGTCATTCGTGCCATGTTAGAGGAAGGTTCCAGGAACTGAGCTGAATAGAGTCTGTGGTTCATGTTCCCTGAGCATTTGCCATAGCCCTTCCTGGGGGGGCTCATGGGGGAGGTCGTGAGCGAGGCTGGGGAACCATGGGGCTGCTGTGGTCAGTTTCCACCTCAGCTCATGTATAGGCTGTGGTCAGAGTAACCTCACTCTCCTTTCCATCACTTACTACCTTAGAAGTTGATACCATGTTATTTTCAAACCTAAGATGCCACCAATTATAAGACATAATAGCCTCATTTCAGAGATGTAAAAAAATGAAAAATTCTTAGATGAAATAAAGTGGTGGGGGGATGGAATTTTTTGGAGTAATGGTGAGAGGGGTGGGAAAGGCAGGGCAGGCAATACAAGCTGTTGGGGGCATTGCCCCTCATGGCATTCAGGTATGAGATTCTAAGAAAGCCTATCCGAATTGGGGAGGCAGTGTACGGTCTCAAGGGTGAGGCAGAACAGAATTCTCTCTACAGCTCATTACTAGAAGGGTTGCTACCAAGACATGAGGCCTGGCCAGCCAGATTTATATTATTGGGTCTCCCCAAAAAAGGGCAGAGCCAGGAACTTCTGGAAGGTGAAAGAGGAGCTAAAAATGGGAAGATTGGCTTTAAAAACTTTACTTAAATTTACCGGAGGAGTTAGAACCCAAGCCCCTTTTCTACCTCATCTAGCTGGCACACTGCCCTTTCCCTACCCAGCAGAAAATAATGAAAGGCAGTTCCCTAGAGAAAGAGAAATAAGGTTCTGAGCTGGTGGCACTAGCCAGCCATAACTAAATACTAAATACTAAACACTGGGCCACTGTGTGAAGCTGGGGGCTGTGTGCAAGCTCACATGTTGAATATTAAGAACCCCATAACCCCATAATTCTGCCCCCAGTGAGATTCCAGAATGCTGGGAGCCAGGCCTATCCCGCCAGCAAGGAAAGTAGAAAGTTCACGTGTCCCCCAGGAAAATGGTTGAGCAGATCCCAGCACATGAAGCCCCACCCAGTCAGCAGAACCCATCCTGCACATAGAGCTTCTAACCTGCTTTGTAGTACTTTTTTACCTTTTTAAAAGATTTTATTTATTTTAGAGAGTGTGCACACAAGTAGGAGGAGGGGCAGAGGTGGGGGGCGGGAGTGAGTCTCAGTGGATGCCCTGCTGAGTGCAGAGTCTGTAGTGGGGCTTGATCTCACAACCCTGAGATCAGGACCTGAGCCAAAATCAAGAGTTGGATGCTTAACCACTGAGCCCCCCAGGCCCCCCAGGGCTTTTTCTCTTCACTTAACTGTGAAGTAGGTGTCAGGAGTCGCTAGGCATTTGAAAAAGTCTCCGATGTAAAAGACGGATATCAGAACAAGTCAACATAACAAAGCAATTTGATGGGGACAGAGACTTGAATGAAAAAATGATAAAACATATTACTGTTGTCAGAGATAGAAGAGAGGCTAGTGATCCAAGAAACAAGAACAGTTTGCTATAAAATAAGAATATTAGAAGATCAGTAATGAACTCCTAAAAAAAAAATGTGCAGCCTGGGTTGGTACAACCCACCAAGAACTGTACAAACAGAGGTGATTTTTTGAAGAAGGTCCCTGGGACTGAATAGTTTTGGAAACCAGCTTAGAAAATGGCAAAGGCCTTGTCACATATAAACACTTCGACTCCACTGTCCCCAGAGTCACTTTTTGGTGACTCTCTGGATTCTTTAGAAACTCCTCAGCCATTCTGTGTCCTCTCCAAGAGTAATCCTCTCTACCTACAAAACCTCCTTCATTGACTTCCCATTTTGCTTAGAGTAGTGTTCAAACTCACCATGTGTCCCCATGTCCCCCCCACTCCTCCCCTTACGGTTCTGTTCTTTGGCTCCCTTCAGGAGAAATGCTTTTCACCATCTGCTTCTGGCCACTCTCCTCCCACCTCCAGAATTCTCTATGCCCAACCTGCACTAGCCCCATCTTTTCTTTCTTTGGCATCACCACTTCCTGTTTGCATTACCCTCCTCCTTCACCTGACCTCCCCAGCCTTCGAAGCTCACCTCAGACAGAGTCTCCTCTGAAGCTTCCCCTGACCCTCTCTCCTTCTCCTGCATTCCACAGCATCCTGGCATTCCTCTGCTGTGGAGCCGTGACACAGTGTTGTCATGTATACTTCAAATTTTTTTGTTTGCCTCAGGAAACCCTAAACTCCTGAGGGCCAGGAATCTTTTTTTCTCTCATTCTTTACACCTCCATCATTTAGCCTAGTGCCTGGCACAGAGTAGATGGACTTGAATAGAGTTTTATTGAAATGAATGAATAATTGAACGAAGCTCCAAAAATGGTGGTTTCTACAGGGATGGCCAATCCGGAAAGATAACCGTGGATGACTATGGGGCCAGAACAGGCAAATCGCCCGGCATGATGAGGCAGCTGAACATCAACGGTGCTCTGTATGTGGGTAAGTGACCTCTGACCAAATCTAAATTACGCCCCAGTCTTCTTGCTAGGCCGCCATTTGTCATGGTGGGGTTCCCCCAAAGAGGTGCATGTCACTGGATCAAACACTTGGAAATTAGGAAGCTTGCCAGATGTTCTGTTCTTCTATTTTCTGAACTTTTGACTCATGGCTGAGGGGGCAGGAAGCACTTGGACGCTGTTGTGCTTTGGGCTGGTCCACCAGGAAAACCGTGCTTTTCTTGTTTATAGAACGAGAACCTGCCCGATATAGCCCCGAGAATTCCCTCTGAGGAAGGAGGATCCTTCTTGCTCCCTCTCAAAATCAGAATGAGTAGTGCTTCTGTAAATAGTTGAGAAACCGCTACTGCAGACACAGAAACACAAAATAGATCTCTACCCCAATGATATTTCCTAAAAGTGAACTTAATTGAAAGCTTTCAGTATCAGTGTGTTTCCTTCCGGCTGAGATGACATCACCTTTAAGCACCTGGTACATTCTGTTGCCGTCACACAACATTTCAAAATTTACCAGGTCCTGTTTGGCTTGACCTGAGTCCATTGGGTCAGCGGGCCACGTGAGGCGGGTATTAATAGCCCCTGTTGTTTGTCAGGTTGACACAAGTCTGTCTGCTCCTTCAAGGGTTACTGTTAGTTAGACGGATGCTCTGCACTGAGCAGCTGGAGGCACTTACAGCCTTCACTCATCCTGTCAGCCGAGGGACATCTTGGTCAGTAAATGCTCCAGCTTCCTAGCGAGACCTGCTCCCCTCTGGCTCACCCCATCACCCTCTTGCTTCCCGGCAGGTGGGATGAAGGAAATCGCTCTGCACACTAACAGGCAATACATGCGGGGCCTCGTGGGCTGCATTTCTCATTTCACCCTGTCCACCGATTACCACATTTCCCTCGTGGAAGACGCCGTGGATGGAAAAAACATCAACACTTGTGGAGCCAAGTAACACCGGCTGGCCTTGCCCGAGGGACACAGCCTTCTGTGCTGAGAATCCCCGGGGCCCTGAGACCCTGCCTGATGCCAGCCACAGTGGCACGGGGACCAGTTGTGTGTCTTCTCATCAAGGAGAACGTACCCCCTGATGAGAGACTAGATCCGAGACAGAAGTCCCTGTGTGGCCTTTCCTGCGGACACTCTGTGGGCCAAACCCAACAGAATCCTCTGTGTAGGAAGCGTCGAATTTTGTCCATTGAATGTGTAGCAGCTGCCAGAGATCACACATCAATGCGAATTCCAGAGCCTTCTGCTGTAGCTCAATGACTGTGTTGTGATTCATGGTGCATATAAAAAGAAAGAAAAAAAAATAGAGACCCACAGGGCAGTATTAAAATACTTCCCTCCTTTCCTGATTCATGACACTCTTACTGACAGCAAAATGACTATTTGACCTTGAACTTTGAATTGCTCACCTTGGCCCTGGAATGAGTAGGAGTAATCCCTTCCAGTCCTCAGTGGCTGGGGTCAGTGTGCTCTGACTATTCCATGAGAATCAGGAGGAGGGGAGCCTAGGCACGGAGTTCCAGTCATAATGCTGCCCTCCACCGACGTTTACTGTAGTGGGAAACTCCCTACTTTTTATAATGCAAGTCGAAGACAATGGGGCACCATGATTTTGTAGCTGTCTTTTTGTATGTGTATATTTTTATAGCTGCAGATTATCCACACAGTACACTTTCCAAGTTTGTGCGGACAACACTGAATTCTTTGCACACTTCCTAAAGATATCCCCCCCGGAGAGACTTATTTGGGCCCCTCGTGGCATCAGTCAGAGTGGGATAGTACACTTGCTGGGGCAGCTTGGGGAAGCTGACTCTTCTCTTGCGGTTAATGCGGACGGCTCAAGGAGATGAACATGAAGCTTCCAAAAAAAGCAGATCAGCAGGCACATGGGTTACAGAGTTGGGGGCCACTGTCTTTTTTGCTTTAAGAGAGGGGGAACGACTATAGTGAACCTAAATAAAGGAGATGAAGAAGGCTAGAACTCATGCGTTCAGTCTTTTATTCATTTGGGGGAGATGTTACTGATGCTTGCAGAAGCCGTGTCCACAGGTGGACACCGATACAATTAGAAGCTGTAGACATGATCCCTGCGAGTAGAGTCTCACAGTTGGTGGTTCTGAGGCCATTCTGGGGCAGGGGTGTCCTCAGCATGGTATGAGCGTCTGGGCAAGTACCCAGGAAGCGGGCTGCTGGCTCCGAGCCCTCGGCGGTGACCCTGCAGACAGCTGGCTCACTGGCAGGTCCCCAGGACGGGACTTACTAAGGGAAAGGTGAGCTGAACACTGTCCCCGAAGAGGAGGGAAATCGGGTCCCAATCACGGAAGAGCCTATAATTAGTCCGTCATGACTCAAGTCTGGTGTGTGCAGCCTGCGTTTAGTGAAGACTTTGAGCTTTGGGCGAAGCACCATGCTAAGCACTTTGAGAATTCTGAAAAATGAACAAGTAAACTAGAGACGGGCTGAAACTCGCGCTTCAGCCTTCTACCTCTTGCCTCTGGGACCTCCGATGACCAGGATCCTCCCTCCTGGAGGAGGAACCACAGCAACGATGGTCATAAGGACGGCGATCGTAACAGTGGCAGTCCTGGTAATTCCTTTGCTCTGCCCGGTGTCCGCTGGGGAGTGCGGTGTGCAGGAAAGCCTCGTGGTAGAAAGTGGGGTGTTTGTTGTCTTTTTTGTTTGTTTTGTTATCTAGTTCAGTTAATCGCAAAGTCTTCCCACTAGCATTCAGCTTAGAAAATACAGAATTATCATACTGTTATATGTATTCCTGTAACCTTCAATCTCTAGCCTACATGGTGTCCTGAACTCTTCATGGACTTCGATGTCTTTGCACAATTCTTTTGTGCTGTTTCCTCAGCCCTGCATATCACATTCCTTAATCCAACATGTCTGCATTCTCTGTCCCCTCAGGGCATCAAGCAGAAGGTTCTGTGTCAGGATGTCTTAGAAAGCGGGTTTTGCCACCTCCCAAACACCCTCACCTCCACACCCCTTCCTTGGAGGCTGCCAGGATCCGTGCTTCCCAAGATAGAGCGGGGCTGCTTTCGTAACTCAGTCTGAATCCATTGCCTCCAGCCACACACACACACAAAAAAAAACAACCCCCTCCAAGCCCCAAACAAACAAAATGTTGCGATTTTAGCCAAATATGCAGCTGAGCCCAAGCCAGGAGAGTTGTGCTGTAGAAGAGCTGCTGCTCCCTGCAGGTGTTTTCTGGACAAAAATGCGATGACTCAGGAACCGGGACCTGGGAGGGGTGTGTTGAAGCTGATGAGAATTGTGGGCCACCTTCCCCTGCTGGGTGGGATGCAGAGGGGTGAGGAGGGATGACCCCATGGTGGGCTGGGGGCCAGGGAGATCCTGCTGACGAGAGGACAACAGAGTACAGTGACCCCAGAGGAGCGGTCACTGGGGGCTCAGAGTCAGAGCACATGGAAAGTACATCCCAGCCAAAAGCAGGGCTCTCCCCCTCGTGGTGGACAAGATCTGGGAGATCCGGGATGGATTTATAGGGGAGGTGGTTGTGGGGGTACAAATGGCATTCTGAAGTGGAGGACTTGGGCTGGGATTCAGGGGTAGGAGATAGAGCTGAGGCAAGCTCGGGCTGGCTCTGTGGGTGCTTTGGGTCCTGTCTAAGTCCGTTATCTACCGCCACAGAAGCCTGCACGCTACACATCACAGAACGGCACGAAGGGTGTATTGCTCACAGGCCCCCAGTGGTCAGTGTGGCGGCTCGGCTGATCTCTGTGGGGCTTGACCAGGTGGTTCTTCGGGTCTCCGATGGACCTGTTCACGTGTGCGGCAATTGGCTCATTTAGGATGGCCTTGGCTGGGATGGTGAGCTGACTTGAGTGTACTCCCTGTGGCTCTTATCCTTGTCGCGGGCCCAAGGGATAGGCTGACATGCCCTTGTCACTAGAGAGGAGGGCAAAGAAATTCAAGTCAAGGTGTAAGGCCTTTGACAGCCTACTTTTGGGACTGCACATGTCCCTTCTGCCACATCCTGTCAGTCGAAGTCCATGGACTGAAGAGAGGAAGAAACAGACTGGGTCTCTGCAGGGGAGAAGAGGTCACCCAGCAAAGGGCCGGGCATAGCCAGGGTGCAAGATCCAGGCCATTAAGGCCGTCCTCCTGCAGAGCAGCCATAGGCTGTTGAGAGAGATGCTGTGATCAGGGGGAGGTGGCCCCGCAGGCCACAGTCTTCCGGAGGGGTGGGAGGGGGGGGTCTGTGAAGTAGTCAGCGGCCTCCCGGCCAGGCGGGGCCCAGGGGGCAGCATCTGTCCCTCCTCCGGCTGCTCCTGTTGTGCCCTGTGCCTTCTGCTTCTACCTGTTGCCCAATCCTTGGCGGCCATGCTATCATTCTGAGGAGGGGGGCCTAGCAGGGTGATAGGATTTGTGCCCTAGCTTTTGGGAAGTGGCTCTGTTGAGAGAATATTGAAGAACCTGCCTGGGCCCTGGGCTCCCTAGAGAGGTTTGCAAGCCAGGGAGCTCGGAGATTAATGCCATCCCTGTCCTGCCCGGGAGGGCTATCAGGAGGCCCAGGTTCCTAAAAACCACCTTTTGTCCACGGGCAGGATCTGAGAAAATCCCTCAGACTTCCGTGTGCCCTAAGCAAGGATGGCTGGTTGGTGCGGGGGGGTGAGGACCGGGGTGTTCTTGCTGTTCCTATTAAAACTGACTTCACAGCCACAACTTTCCTCTAAGCCCGGTTGCGGGATTTCTCTCAGGAAGGTCTGTGGGGTCTTCTTTGTCCCCACACTGTCCCAGAAGCCCGTGAGTGGCAGCTTGATGACCCCGGCCGTCAGGCACCGCTCTGAATGGTTGCCCTGCTCTCCCACCCTCTTCTTTGCTTTTCTTTTCCGGACCCGGTCCTGTTCCAGCCTCCAGGCCTGCGCCAACACAAACAGGCCTCAGGTTGCCGGACGCGAACCGCCCGGGCTTCAGAGTCAGAGGAACGGGCGCTTTCCTTCCAACTTCCCGCCTCGCCTTCCCTTCACCGCCCCCCTCATCACTTCTCCCCCTTGCAAGCGAGCTGCCTCCTCCCTGAGTGGGAGGAAGGATCTCGGAAATGTGCCCGGAGCTGGCCGGCCCAGTGCTTTCCACTTGGAGGAAATGCTGCATTTTTCACCTTTAACCCAGAAAAATATGGTTCTCAGAAAGCTTGTTTTTAGCACTGAGAGTTCCCAAAGGAAGAAGAATTGGGAGGAGGAGCAGCTCCCAACCTCTCTCAGCTCTGACAGCCAAACCCCCACCCCAGAAGGCTGTTCCTCTTTGGGAGGGGAGGGCTGGGGGGCAGCCTGCAGAGGCCCAGCAGCTGGGGAAAAATCAAGGCAGAGAATTCCAGCTCCAAGTAGAAGGACGATTCATCTTTTAGGAGAGTGGTCTGGACAAAGCATTAGCCACTCCCTGTTCCCTTTATGGCCCCTTTCAGCTCGGGCCCAGCCACGCACTGGGTAGCTGACCTTGCGGCGGGAGGTGGGGGTCGGGGTGTGCCCGGACCCTTTGCTGATCGGGCTGTGTGGTGAGCTCACCAAAGGCAGGAATGGCATCAAGGTCAGAATCCCAAACAAGGGACGTATGGTGCCTCAGGCCACTCCCGAGTGGCTTATTCCCAAGGTGGAGAGCATGGATCACGCAGCGGCCTCATCGCTGCGTGTTTCTGCAGCACACACGAGACAGACAAGGGAAGAAGAAGGGCCCTGCCTCAGCCCAGTGAGGCAGGGGAGCGCGACGTCTGAAGGCGGCCCTGAAGCTGGTGGGTCTCGGTGGAGGTGACAGGCTGTGGTCCGGAAGTTCCAGCTTGCAGGTGGCTGTATTCTGGCGACCACCGGGACCGGCCTCTGGGATGGCCCCTGTCAGCCGTTGCGCTCCAGCCCCACGTTCACACGTGGACGCTTAATGACAGCCCTCCTCTGGTGACAGCCGGAGCTGACGGGCACGGCTTGTTCGGCTTGGGAGGACAGAAGCTGGCCAGAAAGACCGGGCGACTTGCCCTGGTCCTACCATGAGGACACAGCCATGACGCTTCCTTGTGGAGCTTTCCTCCCCCTGACCTGGATCTGCAGTCAGACGCGACCGGCCCAAGGATCCCAGGATCGTTCGGTGCCCTCTGGGCTTCTTCAGGTTGGCTGTGACCGGCAGCACAGGCCTGTGGGTAAGGGGATTTGGGCAGAGGCTGGTACCCAAGTGTCTGATTGCCAGTTTCTCATCAGAGCTCCAAGTCTGCCTTCTTCCAAAATTCTCTTATCTCAAGGACTCTGGAAGTAGAAACCAGAGCCACT